TTTTACTACTGTTATAAGTATTTTTACCTGTGAAAAAAGTGATAAAAATATTTACTGTAATAATGATATAAACACCCACAAATATGATAAATCACTCACAAAAGTGATAATTTTTTTGTAACGAATAAAAATGATAAAAATAGTTATCCTAATAATGATAAAAATACTAATAATATTGGTAAAAAATCTACAAAAGTGATAAATCACTTAGAAAAATTATAATTTTTTTATTGTAAAATGAACCACAAAAATAACAAAAATACTCATTAAAATTGTAAAATTTGAAGGTATGGTACTATTTTTTTTTTTTGCCAGTACATAGGTAAGTCCTATATGCTTAGAGCATTCCAACCCTTCCTTAAATTTAAATTTAAGTAAAAAAGCTCTAAAAATTTGCTTCAATCTTTGATTTAAACTTATATCAAATTAAGAGAGACTCTTTTTTCTCTTCGAATCAAGGGTGACTCAAATTTTTACACAAATCTTTAAATTTGAGTTTACCCACATTTAAATTTGAGTTTTTCCTTCTTTAAATTTTAGTTTATTCATTGGAACCATTTGCATCAAATTAAACTTTTTACTTAAATATTAATTTAAATTTGAATAAAAATTTGAGTTATGATTAGAGATGCTCTTACTAATTACATCAACATTCTCAAATTTATGGTCAAATCTCCTAATAATACGACCAAATTTATTATTCAGTGGGCTTAGTGTGACTTGATATTAACAATCGATAACAACTTCCAATCTTCAAATAATCTAGCACGGCTATAGCAACTTATATAAGATGCTTCCAAATAAATCTTATAATAAAATTTAATTAATTTATATTTCTATAAGGTTTAGAGTTCTAATTGATGCAGAAGAGTTCTTTAACTTCAATTTTTTTTAACTTAAATGAATAAAACTCTCAAAGAGTCGAATCCTTCTTATTTTGTACTGTCATTTTCTTTAGAGTGACTTAAAAATGTACCAAGTCAACATGTTAACCTGAGGCTTTTTTTTTTTTTTTGGTCAGAGGTGATCAGACTTGCGTTGACTATTTCCTGAAATTCAGCGCCTGACCACTATAATTTGAACTGAGTTAAAGCATATCCATAAATGGATAAGGGTTGCTAACCCTTAGCAGAAACGAAACCAAGATTTTATCCCAATAGGGACCAAATATTGTCATAGTTAATAGTTTTACGCGACCATTCTGTTTAACAAGTTATCATTATAGATAAATTTACAGTATAGAGAATGTATCAAGATCAACGTTTGCACAATATTTTTGAAAAAAAAATTGTTTGACTCATAAAATAAAAAAAATGTATTAACTTACCATCATAAAATTTGGTGTTTGATTTTTCGAACAAAATTTTGCAGCTTGTTTTAAATTTTTACAAATTAAAATTTTGAAATTTGACTTTTTTGGTACCATATTAGCACCACATTATTATGTTACTGAATTTGGTCCTATTATTTTTTGGTCAGTCTAACACCACTATTGGATATAAGCCACGTTTCTAACTCATTTTTACTGTGATTTATTATTATTTTTATGTTGGTCATCAAACTCATCAGAGCAACTATTTTTGTTTGTAAGCGGAATGCTCATCTGGAAGATCACATTCTCATTTTGTTATTACTTATTAAAGTATTATTATTTTTTTTTTGAAAATATATAATAGGAGAAATATCCCCAAAGGTTTTTTTTAAAAATCTAATGGAAAGCTTATAATTTTTTAATAGGACATGCTATGTGTATGATGCAAGGAGAAGAAAACGGTTTGACTGGTTCACCTTAGTCGAAAAATTAAGGTTACATCTATTGTAAGAGAAACTCTTGCTCATTGAGAATTATATTACTTGGAAAAGAAAATTGTTGTTACTTGGTGTTTGGCTTGAAGCTTTTTACAAGATATTGCCTAGATTTTACTTGGTAGCTTTTCTAATGGCTCCCCTCGTGTACTGTAGTATTGTTGACTATTTGTACAATTGGTAGTCAAGTTTTTATATTGGTTCCTTTTGGCTCATTTTGTGGTCCCTTTTGTGTTTGTCTTTGTTATGGAGTTGTAATCCTTAATACCTTTCTGTTTCCACTACTCGCCGATTGTAGTACTCAATTCATCTCCACTACATGTAGATTTTTGTTCATCAGAGCCGTCGAATAATGGTCCCTTATCCCCGGTCCATGTTTCATGTTGCAGGTTTTGCAAATTGGCCCGATACAGTTCTTTTCTCTCATCTTCTGAGCTGGTACTTATACCGAGCTCTTTAACATTGACTCTCTTTAAACAATTCGAGCCTAATGAATATTGTCTGAATAAGTTAATTTGACCGCTTTCTGCAAGTCCAGAGGGTCTTAGGCTCTAGAAAAGTCCAGACTTAGACTCATCCTTATCAATAATCAATGATATAATTAGTAATTAGCTTACAATTTATTTTCAAGAGTATAATAACCCAAAATACTAACATAAGTACGTAACTCTCTACTTCTTCGGTCACCTTCATGTGCAAGTCCAGAAAACAATGGAATAAGTTAACAGCTTTTCTTTTACTAAACAAAAAAACAAAACAAAAAAGGAATCAGTAAACCGCAAGAAGTGAATTCTCAGATGGACATGCTGGAAGATTCAGTGCACATTGATTCCTTTCAGATCCAATCAGAAACACACACACACGCTGACACAGAGAGAGATAAGGCATACCTTTCCTGTACCATAATAAACAGTCAGAAAATTGACATGGAAGTTGTGAGCCCCGTGAGGCCAAAAATAGTTTTATCCAAAAAAAAAACACAAATTCAAATAAAATTAATAAAAAAGTTAATAGCCAACTGGTCATTTCACAGTTACCCTCCATGCTGACAACGAATCATTTGCTCTTTTTCGCTGACAACCAGATTTCCCATAAATAAAAAAAAAAACAAAAAACAGAAATGAAGTGTGTGTATATATGTATGGCTATATATATTGGCAATAATCACGTGTTTAAAATATTTATAATATTAAATATTAAATATTAATCTTATTATATTTATATTTTAAATAAAAAAATTTTTAATTACATAATATAAAATTAAAATAAAAAAATAAAAAATAAGATAAATATAAGAAAAAGATAAATGTGAATTAATGTGGTTGTTAGTATTGATAAACTCAAGTAGTACTAAGGACAACAAGCCAGCCTGAGTTCAAATTTTAACAACCATTTGGGACTAGGTCATGAGAGATAAAATTTTTCATGAATACTCGAGTCTTATTGTGGATGATTTGTTTTTGATCGAATTGAATATGAGATTAGTCAAGGTGCGTATAAACTGACATGAACACCTCTTACTGTTGAATAAAAAACAAAAGTATATTGGATGAGTTATTCTGACATGAGAAGTCGNAATGTGAATTAATGTGGTTGTTAGTATTGATAAACTCAAGTAGTACTAAGGACAAGAAGCCTGAGTTCAAATTTTAACAACCATTTGGGACTAGGTCATGAGAGATAAAATTTTTCATGAATACTCGAGTCCTATTGTGGATGATTTGTTTTTGATCGAATTGAATATGAGATTAGTCAAGGTGCGTATAAACTGACATGAGCACCTCTGACTGTTGAATAAAAAACAAAAGTATATTGGATGAGTTATTCTGACATGAGAAGTCGGGCATAAAATATGATGCTTTTTAACTCAAAAAAAAAAGAAAAAAATTTTGTACAATTAAATCAAAATAAATAAAAGTTTAATCAATCTTAAATATTATTGTGCTTTACAGGTTGAAAATTTATTTTTTTAACTTTAATATTAGATATATACTGTTTCTTATAATAATAAATTGTAAAAAAAGTTGAAATAAAAAGGTTAAACCCAACAAAACAAAAAAGGGGTAAAAAAGGGGGAGAGAGAGCGAGAGAGAGCGAGGGAAAGAAACTGAGAGAAAAGGAAAGGAAAGACCCATCAGACTCTCTCTCTCTCTCTCTCTCTCGCTCTGACCTCCGTTTCACCTTCATTGACGACAACGTTCTTCTTTTTCTGGGATAGTTGAATTGCAAGGTATTTTTTAATTATTTTTAGTTTTATTTTATTTTTTAAATTTTCAATTCTTTCTTCTTCTTTTTTTTTTTATAATAAAATCTTAACGAACATTTAGGGAATGACCCAGCTGGATTCTGTAAATACTCTTTGATCTGATCTCTCTCCTATTGTGTTCTTTCTTCAATCAATTAGTTATATTGTAATTTATTTCGATTGAATTTTACCAAATTTAATTACCGCCCATGCAACTTTGTGTATATGAAGATCTAGGCGTCATTTGATTTTGATCTGTTTTCTCTTTTTTGGGTTCTGTATGATGTTAGACACAGTATTAGGTTCAATTAAATTATGGAATGAAGCTCACTGCCTTGAGGTTGTTGGTATGTACATTACACCAATGTGGCTTTACACTGTTGGGATTTTGGAAGGAAGTGAATTTCTTGTTGTGATGCTTCTTTGGAGGAAGAGGGTGGTTGTGAAATAATAGAGGAAGCTTGGCAGCATTCTCATTTTTCCAGCTGAGGTAATGCTTTCATGTTGATTTTTATCTCGTTTTTAGCTAAATTTTGCCTATTTTTCCTTGGAATTATGAATTGGGTTTACTTGTGTGTATGGAGTGTTGTGGTACATTTGGAAATGGATTCTGTAATTGTACTTTAATGCTGTACATTACCCAGAATTGGTACGATCTTACTGGGTAGACACCAAACCTCTAACTTTATTTGAAGGCATTGTATGCACTAGAGAAACCTTCACGAGATCTCATGCTTGAGTTTGTAATGAATTGAGAAACTTGGTTACTTGGGGCTTGAGATCTTTAATTGCAAAGGAATTCAGAAGGCTATTCTCTTGGCGTTCTGGTCTATTGTTTTATTTTTTTGTTTCTTTTGGGGCATGTATTTTTGATATAGCTTATGGTAGAATTGACTAGTCGTGATTTCCAGGAGGCCCAGGAGAAGACTAAACTGGAGTCTTGGTGCCAATGTCAAAGTCTCCCTCCCCTGAACCAAGAGAGCAGAAGTTCTCATCTACTACTCGAAAGAGGTTTGTGCTGCTCTCTTAGCATAATGTTTTGGAATAGGTAATAGATCACTGCTGTTACAGATGGTGAATGTATATACTGATGAATTAATTTGTTACACCCTTTCTAAAAATAGTTTCCACATATTTATATACAGAATGTACGTGCATAAATGAAGTAAAGTGGAGGTTGGACATACTATGTACTATTTCTGATAATTTTTTTAATATAATCAGAGCCTATCTTTTTACCTTATATCAGTGACATTTCCTTTACATTTCTCAAGTTGATTTNATTTGTTACACCCTTTCTAAAAATAGTTTCCACATATTTATATACAGAATATACATGCATAAATGAAGTAAAGTGGAGGTTGGACATACTATGTACTATTTCTGATAATTTTTTTAATATAATCAGCCTATCTTTTTACCTTATATCAGTGACATTTCCTTTACATTTCTCAAGTTGATTTTATAATTTTTATTTATGCTTTGGGCATTATATTCTGATTTTTAATGAGTGTGATCTATCTTATTCAGAGACTCATATGAGACCACAGAAATGGATGATCCAGAACGAACAATGTCTAGGGTTGCTCAATTTGTTGAACAGCTACATGCCAATATGTCCTCGCCCCCTGAGAAAGAACTTATAACAGCACGTTTGCTAGGCATGGCAAAAGCAAGAAAGGAAGCACGAACTCTTATTGGTTCGCATGCCCAAGCAATGCCATTGTTCATCTCCATACTTAGGAGTGGCACTTATGTGGCAAAAGTAAATGTTGCTACAACTTTGAGTGTCTTGTGCAAAGATGAAGACTTACGATTGAAGGTGCTTTTAGGTGGATGCATCCCGCCATTACTGACACTTTTGAAGTCGGAGTCAACTGAGGCAAGGAAGGCAGCAGCAGAAGCAATATATGAAGTTTCGTGTGGTGGACTTTCAGATGATCATGTGGGTGTAAAAATATTTGTCACAGAAGGTGTAGTACCAACCTTATGGGAGCAGCTCAATCGAAAAAACAAGAAGGACAAAGTGGTGGAAGGGTTTGTCACTGGAGCTTTGAGAAATCTTTGTGGTGACAAAGAGGGGTATTGGAGGGCAACACTCGATGCCGGAGGAGTAGATATCATTTTGGGGCTTCTTTCTTCCAACAATGCTGCTGCTCAATCCAATGCGGCTTCTCTGTTGGCTCGTTTGGTGCTGGCTTTCAGTGACAGTGTCCCCAAAATAATTGATTCCGGAGCCATTGAAGCTTTGCTTAGACTGTTGGGTCAAGAAAATGATGTTTCCGTCCGTGCCAGTGCTGCTGATGCTTTGGAGGCTCTTTCTTCAAAGTCAACTAAAGCTAAGAAAGCCGTTGTTGATGCACATGGCATACCGGTTCTCATTGGAGCTGTAGTTGCTCCTTCGAAGGAGTGTATGCAAGGAGAGGGTGGCCAAGCTCTTCAGGAGCATGCGACACAAGCTTTAGCAAATATAAGCGGTAGTATGTCCGCGCTAATTCTATATCTGGGAGAGCTTTCCCAGTCCCCGCGCTTAACTGCTCCAGTTGCTGATATAGTTGGAGCCCTTGCCTACTCTCTGATGGTCTTCAACCAGAAATTTGGTGTTGAAGAAGAATCATTTGATGCAACAAAAATAGAAAGCATTCTAGTAATACTTCTGAAGCCTCGAGATAATAAGCTTGTTCAGGAGCGTGTCCTTGAGGCTATGGCCAGCCTGTATGGCAATTCCTATCTCTCAGAATGGCTGAATCAAGCAGAAGCAAAGAGGGTGCTGATTGGACTTATCACAATGGCCGCTGCTGATGTGCAAGAGTCCCTGATTCTCTCTCTGATAAGTCTATGCTGTGATGGAGTGGGCATATGGGTGGCCATCGAAAAAAGAGAGGGAATTCAATTACTCATATCATTACTGGGTTTATCCAGTGAACAGCATCAAGAGTACGCGGTTGAGTTGTTAGCAATCCTGACTGATCAGGTTGATGACAGCAAGTGGGCTATCACTGCTGCTGGAGGGATTCCACCACTAGTTCAGTTATTAGAAATGGGATCTCAGAAAGCAAGAGAGGATGCGGCCCATGTTCTGTGGAATTTATGCTGCCACAGTGAAGACATCCGCGCATGTGTTGAAAGTGCTGGAGCTGTTCCAGCATTCTTGTGGCTTCTAAAAAATGGTGGACCTAGGGGACAAGCAGCTGCAGCTAAGGCACTTAAAAAACTCATCCAGACAGCTGATTCTGCAACCATCAATCAATTATTAGCTTTGCTCCTGGGAGACTCTCCAAGCTCAAAGGTCGACATAGTTGAAGTTTTGGGTCATGTTCTTACCAAGGCCTCGCACCATGATCTTGTGCATAAGGAAGCTGCCGCTAATAAAGGGCTGAGGTCACTTGTCCAGGTTCTCAATTCCTCGAACGAGAAAACCCAAGAATATGCAGCTTCTGTCCTGGCTGATATATTCAGCAGTCGTCAAGATATTTGTGATAGTCTTGCAACAGATGAAGTTGTGCGTCCATGCATGAAACTTTTGACCAGCAATACTCAAGTTATTGCAACACAGTCAGCCCGAGCCTTGGGTGCTTTGTCCCGTCCAACCAAAACTAAGACGTCAAATAAAATGTCTTATATTGCTGAAGGGGATGTTAAGCCTCTTATCAAGTTAGCCAAAACATCTTCCATCGATGCTGCAGAGACTGCAGTGGCTGCACTAGCCAATCTTCTTTCAGATCCCCAGATTGCTGCAGAAGCACTGGAAGAAGATGTCGTTTCAGCTTTGACAAGAGTACTGGGAGAAGGAAGTTTAGAAGGTAAGAAAAATGCATCACGTGCACTTCACCAATTGTTGAGGTACTTTCCCGTAGATGATGTACTCAAGGGAAGTGCTCAGTGTCGATTCACTGTTCTTGCAATTGTTGACTCCTTAAGTGCAATGGATATGGATGGAGCTGATGCAGCTGATGCTTTGGAAGTCGTTGGACAACTGGCTAGAACAAAACAGAGTGCGAACTTCAGTTATCCTCCGTGGTCTGCCCTTGCTGAAGTCCCCTCAAGCTTGGAGGCTCTTGTACGCTGCCTGGCTGAGGGGCCTCCTTTAGTGCAAGATAAGGCAATAGAAATTCTGTCTAGGCTTTGCGGGGATCAACCAGTTGTACTAGGTGAGTTGTTAATGGCAAAATCAAGATCTATCAGTGCACTGGCTAATAGAATAATAAACTCTACCAGTCTAGAAGTGAGAGTTGGAGGGGCTGCATTGCTTATTTGTGCTGCAAAGGAGCAAAAACACCAGTGCATGGATGCCCTTGATGTGTCAGGATACTTGAAACCCCTTGTATATGCGTTAGTGGATATGATGAAGCAAAACTCTATCTGTTGCTCCCTGGAAATTGAAGTCAGAACTCCTAGAGGTTTTGCGGAAAGAACTGCTTTTCAGAATGGAGATGAGTTTGAGGTTCCTGATCCGGCCACTGTCTTGGGTGGTACTGTTGCCTTGTGGTTACTATCTATAACATCTTCTTTTCATCCACAAAGTAAACTCACTGTAGTGGAAGCTGGTGGACTTGAGGCTCTCTCTGACAAACTTGCAAGTTATACTTCGAATTCTCAGGTAGGCCTGACCCTCTTAGTGTTGGGAGGTAGTGTTGCCTTGTGGTTATTATTTGAAATGGATTCTGCTTCACATTAACCTTTTTATTCTCCAAACTTGGGTCATCTAGTATAGATGATTATTCAATTAGTCAATGGTTAAACTTAGCTGCAGAAATAAAAAGGTTTTAATCTATGTTTCCAAAAACAAAATAAAAACTATGGTTCCACACATTTCTTAATTTCTTTCTCTATTTTCATTTTGATTTTGAAACGTTTCTGTTTCTGAGCTGATTTGAACTATGCTCCAAAACGAAATTTTTTTATCCCTGCCAACAAGTTGGTTTATGTGACTGGAGGACTTTTGTACCCATTACCAAACTGATTTTGGATTGGATCCTCTAACACACTCTACCTAATCAAGTTTTTCTTGGCGCTATTATGCATTTGCTGGGAAAATATCACCTCTGTGCTCACCATGTGATTTGCTTATTTTGTTGTTTTACTTTCTAATTCTTCTTCTTTTTTTTTTTTTTTTGGGGGGGGGGGTTTTTATATGTTTTTATTGTTTAGCGTATTGTAAATAATATTTCTAGACCATCATAGAAAAACTTGAAATTTAAGATTTTTGTGGAAGGTTGGATAATAATGTCAATGATTTGGAATGGTGTATGTTATTTCTCCATCAGCTATGACGTACAAGGCTGTTTTTTTTTTTTTTCCCTCTATCTGTCATCCATGGCAGAAATGATTTGTGTGCTTTCTTAAAAAATGATCTGTTTGGATTTGGTAGACGAATTAAAAAATTCTGATTATGGCAGGCAGAATTCCAGGATACTGAGGGAATCTGGATAAGTGCCCTGCTTCTTGCTATATTGTTCCAAGATGCAAACGTTGTTTCATCTCCAGCAACTATGCGCTTTATAACCTCCCTTGCACTTTTGCTGAAGTCTGATGAAGTGATCGACAAATTCTTTGCTGCCCAAGCAATGGCTAGTCTTGTTTCCTATGGAAACAAAGGAATAAACCTTGCTGTTGCAAATTCAGGTGCAGTTGCTGGGCTAATAACTCTAATAGGTTATGTAGAATCAGATATGCCAAACCTTGTTGCTTTATCTGAAGAATTCTCTTTGGTAAGAAACCCCGATCAAGTGGTTCTAGAATGCCTTTTTGAATGTGAAGATGTAAGAATTGGTTCGACTGCACGCAAAACTATCCCTCTATTGGTGGATCTTTTGAGACCAATGCCAGATAGACCAGGTGCGCCTCCATTTGCGGTTCACCTCTTGACACATATTGCAGATGGAAGTGATGCAAACAAACTAATTATGGCTGAAACTGGAGCTCTGGATGCTCTGACAAAGTATCTATCATTGAGCCCTCAAGACTTAACTGAGGTCACCATATCGGAACTCTTGAGAATGTTATTTGGCAATCCTGATATTCTTCGATATGAAGCAGCACTAGGTTCCATGAATCAACTTATAGCTGTTCTGCATTTGGGGTCAAGAAATGCTAGATTGAGTGCTGCTAGGGCTTTGAATGAACTTTTTGATGCCGAGAACCTCAGAGATTCTGAATCAGCTGTACAGGCAGTTCAACCTTTGGTTGACATGCTTAATGCAGCATCAGAGAACGAGCAACACGCTGCTCTTGTTGCCTTGAATAAATTGGCTTCAGGAAATAAACCAAAAGCAGCTTTGATGACTGATGTGGAAGGAAATCCCCTTGAAAGTCTATACAAAATTTTATCTTCCACTTCTTCCTTGGAACTGAAGAGCAATGCTGCAAAACTCTGCTTTGTGCTTTTTGGTGATCCGAAAGACAGAGCAATCGCCTCTGAATTTATAGAACCCCTTATAATGCTCATGCAATCTCACACGAATGCAGTAGTGCAGTCTGGTATATGTGCTTTTGAGAGATTGTTGGATGATGACAAACAAGTGGAGCTGGCAGCAGCTTATGATGTTGTCGATCTGCTTGTAAGTTTGGTTTGCGGATCAAATCATCTAATTATCGAGGCTAGCATCTGTGCTCTGGTTAAGTTGGGGAAGGACCGGACTCCCCGCAAGTTGGATATGGTCAAAGCTGGCATCATTGATAATTGTCTTGAATTACTCCCTACTGCACCCAGTTCCTTGTGCTACTCAATTGCAGAACTGTTCCGCATCTTGACAAATAGTAGTGCAATTTCCAAAAGCTCAGCTTCTGCAAAAATTGTGGAACCTCTTTTTCTGGTTTTGCGTCGACCAGATTTTGGTCAGAGGGGACAGCACAGTGCCCTGCAAGCACTTGTTAATATTTTGGAGAAACCACAGAGTCTTGCAACTCTAAATCTTACTCCTAGCCAAGTAATTGAGCCTCTGATTTCATTCCTGGAATCCCCATCTCAGGCTATCCAGCAGCTTGGTACAGAATTGCTCTCGCATCTGCTTGCACAAGAACACTTTCAACAAGATATAACAACAAAAAATGCTGTTGTGCCCCTTGTGCAGCTTGCAGGAATTGGTATTTTAAACTTACAGCAAACAGCAATAAAGGCTTTGGAAAATATCTCTTTAAGCTGGCCAAAAGCAGTTGCTGATGCTGGGGGAATTTTCGAGCTTGCAAAGGTTATTGTTCAGGATGACCCTCAACCACCCCATGCATTGTGGGAATCAGCTGCACTGGTTCTCTCTAATGTACTACGCTTTAATGCTGACTACTACTTCAGAGTTCCTCTGTTGGTTCTTATAAGGATGTTGCATTCAACACTCGAGAGCACTATTATGGTGGCACTTAATGCCCTGATTGTTCAAGAAAGAACTGATGCTTCAAGTGCCGAACTGATGGCTGAAGCTGGTGCCATAGATGCTCTCTTAGATCTACTAAGATCTCACCAGTTCGAAGAAGCATCAGGAAGACTGCTTGAAGGTCTATTCAATAATGTGAGGGTACGGGAAATGAAGGTCTCCAAGTATGCAATATCACCTCTAGCGCAGTATCTGCTAGACCCACAGACTAGATCACAGTCCAGTAGGCTTCTTGCAGCTCTTGCTCTTGGCGACCTCTCTCAGCATGAAGGACTTGCCAGAGCTAGTGATTCTGTTTCTGCATGTCGTGCACTTATAAGCTTGCTTGAAGATCAGCCAACAGAAGAAATGCAAATGGTGGCAATTTGTGCATTGCAAAACTTTGTCATGCACAGTAGAACCAACAGGCGAGCTGTTGCAGAAGCTGGTGGGATATTGGTAATTCAGGAACTGCTACTGTCTCCCAGTGCTGAGGTAGTTGGGCAGGCGGCATTGCTCATCAAATTTTTATTCTCTAATCACACACTTCAGGAATATGTATCAAATGAGCTTATCAGATCTTTGACAGGTAAGTCACTATTGAAATGGTTTAGTCTTCTTTTGCTAATTTTCTTGATATTAAAGTTTACAAAGTCCAGGTTCTCATGACTGTTGTTTGATCTTTGGAAAACTATAGACTTTCTTATTCTGTTGGCATTTGAACCAGTATATGTCCATCACTGCTTATGTTCTCTACATTAGTTGTAGGCATCTATGGCAAAGTGTATTATGCTTAGACAATGCCTTCAAACTTTTACCTAGAATTTATTGAGTTGAGGGATGAAAATTTCATCTGGCCCACTGGATCCCATCCAGCAATCAGATGGGTTTGGGGCCCAAGAATGGTGGGGGAACAATTGGGGAGAAAAGTTAAATTCGATGTCAGTTCAGGACGGAATGGATAATGGTCCATCAATTTTGAACCTGCCCTGAGACATGCCATATAGGTTAAGTGTAACATCCACACAACTATCCTGGTGTTTGGAGAACAAAGTATACAATATTGAAAATCTTTGTCTAACAAAGTATCTAGGACCTCACCCAAGTTTTCTTAAACAATTGCTGGCATATCACATTACTTTATAACCTTTTTGGCAAAAACTCTTGAGGAACTTTAACCCACATCAGTTGTGGGAAAGAAATGGAAACCTCTGGTCTTATGAAAAGTAGGAACACACTACCCCCCCCCCCCAAAAAAAAAAAAAAAAAAAGCAAAAACCGTGGAGTGCATTCTGCCAATGAAAGTCCCACTAACGCTTGCAATGGCACTGAAATATTACTTTATCTGTAGACAATAGCCAACAATTTTAAGTCCTTGACGGGAACTGGTCCCTACTTGATTAAATTAAACAACGTCCCTTTATCAAGGACATGGGAGGATGGGGAGATGCAGCTCACGAGTTAAGAAGGGGGTCAGTTGACCCAAACCGAGCCTCATTGACATTCCTAGTTTAGATGCACATCCATTATGGACAGAGATCATGGTCTCAATCGTAAGATTCTGCTTGACCCTGCCAAAATTTTGATCTAGTTAAAATACAGAATGTGGTGAGTTCTGGGTTAGTGCTGGGAAAACCTTCTTCAAAAGTTGGTGTGCGAGATTAAATCTATGAACTCTATTGACCTTGGTGGTTGAAAATAAAAAATATAATCTCAATGATGTTCATCCTATGTATTTTTGTTTATATGACTCTTCTACACAAACTCAGTGATCTTTTTAAGCCTCTTTATTTCTCCCCAGTTAAGAAATGTAGATGGAGGTGCCTACATTCCCCAGAAAAGGTACATGATTTATCCTTTCATGTTTCCATAGTTGAGGGAATAAGAATTCAGTGGAGGACTTCCTAGTGCATGCCAATCGTTCAAGTGGTGATATGGCATTGTGAGCGGATATTGATAGAGGAATGAGGCAGCTGCGACCAACTCCTTCACCAGCCAGCGACTGAGAAGAGCGCCAACTCCTGCAGCATACTGAATTCATTCGTTATATAATTTCGCAATCCTTATATATCTTTATAGGGAGTAATTGGTGTTTAGGATGCTAGAACCGCGGTGAGTGCATGGGTCTTCTGTACACATCCAATATGCAAGTACTAAGTAGTATGCAGAACCAACTTATTGCATTGATAATTTTTGATTGAAAATGTCAACGGTGATACTGATAACCTCTGTACACAAAAGACTAATAAATAATCAAAGCTCTCTTTTAGAGGTAATCAGAGAACAGGCTCTAGGCTGAAACCTAAGATGCAATCCAAGTTGGCTTTTAATGCAACTTAGGTGACAGGAGTGCTGATGTGCCTAAGGATTAAACTTTTGTGCTGATTTAAGCGTTTACTTTAAAAATAAAAAGTAGCCTACGACCTCTTTGGTTATGGAACTATTATAGCAATTGAATTCATATAGTTAACCAGAAAATTTCACCCAATGTTAAATTCTTCATCCACTTACCCAACAGAAGACTGTTAAATGCATTTTGCTGGTCTTCAAAAGCTCCTGATAATTTTAACCATCCGTATTTTTCAATAATTTTGCTTTAACATATTTATTTGCACCCTGAGGCCAGAAAAGACACATTTGCGTTGATAACCCAATGTTCCCTGTTGAACTAAACGGATAGCTTCTAGGACGCTATACAATTAGGGGAAACAATTTATAAAACAACTATAGCACCAAGCATGATGTATAGAATAAGCAGATTTGTGAGATAGCATACTCGTAAAATTATTTGGCAATTAGACAAGTTGGGAGTAGCACCTTGGAACAAGTTGAGCAGAACTTTTTAAGCTGGTTTGGCGATATGCAGCTGAGACCATTAACCGTACCAGGGATAAGTGATTACTCAGCTTGAAGTTGTTTCAAGGATGAGGGTGAAAAAGAATGAAGGTTCCAAATTCCAATAGTGAGGGAAGAAGGCATGTAGATTAACAAGAAGCGTGACTCTTCATAGATTTTTTCTGGAAAAATAGACTCCTATAGAGCCCCAAATAGTTAGGATAAATGCTTCTCTGTTTATGGAGCCATGTTGATAATAGTTGAACTTTTTGTTACTTATTGGGATTATGTTAAATAATTACACACCCTGCCTGATTTCACACGACGATGCAATACACACAATAGAATGTCGATATGTTGATATTTTCTTTCCATTTTTCTCATCATTCTCTCATTTTCTATTCCCCTCTAACTTGAGGTTGCTCAAAAATGCTTTTCATCTAGTTCAGGCAGAATTTGAGCAATATACTGGCTTTATAGAGAAGGTATTGAGCATATTATCCAAAGTATGGACCCCTCATTTATCTGAACCGGAAGTGAAAAAATTCCTCCTCTTCATGGCATTTGATGGACAGGTGTGAAAGGCTAGGGGCTATTTTTTTAACGGAGGGATACGTGATGACAGATGGCCCTAAGTTTAAAAAAACTGGTAATGGACCCTAACGTCCAGAAAACTAGTAAGTTTTATGGAGGGGTGAAAAGGCTAAATCATAAACCGTGATGTGATTAGCTTAAAGTGGACAGTAAAGTGGCATTCTCATTTAAGGTTTGCCATTTTGGAAGGACTTGAGGCCCTCAACCACTCTTTTTACTTCCTGTGGCCAAAGTCGGTAACTATTCTATTTTCCCGTTGTTGACTTGTAAATTGATTGTTAGGGGTCAAGAAATTTGGTCTGCATTTGGGAGTTCTTCGTCCTTATCAACCATATGTAGATAAATTTTTTGTTGTTTATACAAAAATGGATCAACTTTTTGTGTGTTCATTGTGAAATTCCTTGGCAAGGATGATCACTTCATTGATAATAAACATAGCACATTGGCAAGAGTATCTATGAAGCGGCCAGTCCCGGTTTTATTTTTCTTTCCCCAACTAGGATTACTTGCTTTCCTGGTTTATCCTTTGATTGTGGTGAAAGGCCTTTTTTTCTGTGACTTGTGTTAAAATATTGTTTTTGTGTCCTTGCTTTGATTTGCAGCTGCTTTAGAGAGAGAGTTGTGGTCCACAGCGACTATCAATGTAGAGGTCCTGAAAACCATTCATGTTATATTTTCCAACTTCCCAAAACTCCACGTTTCTGAAGCAGCTACGCTGTGTATTGCCCACTTGGTAGCAGCACTTAAGTCTGGCAGTGATGCAGCTCAGGATTCTGTATTGAACACCTTATGTTTGTTGAAACATTCATGGTCAACCATGCCAATAGAAATCTCGAAATCTCAAGCAATGGTTGCGGCTGAAGCTATACCCATTCTGCAAATGCTTATGAAAACCTGCCCCCCAAGTTTCCACGAGAGAGCTGACAGCCTGTTGCATTGCTTACCAGGTTGTTTGACTGTTACTATTAAGCGTGGCAACAACCTAAAGCAGGTCATGGGAGGCACAAATGCCTTCTGTCGATTGACAATAGGCAATGGTCCTGCACGGCAGACCAAGGTAATATAATGTTTCAAGAAGAGTTATGGTCAGAAGAAATAGCTGACTTTCTGGCATAATTTGATTCATCCTTTTTCTTTCATGAGATGTCTAGAGATATTATTTCCCTTTCTGTATTTGTTACGTTGCTGTTGCTTATGTTTGTTTGGTATATGGTGAATTCCATATGGACGTCCTCAGGGGCAGAGGCACGTTCAAGGCTGTGCCATTGACTTTTGGATGACACTTTCATATCTAGTCTTACAAAGATCATGACTAAGTTAAAATTAATACATTGCCCCCTTAACTTTTTGAAAATTTCTATTGTGCTTTTTGTTCCTTTTCCCTAATAAATTGTCCATTATCCCCTAACCCATGAAAATAAATGTTTTACATTTGGCCCGAGTAAAATACATGTGAAATACCCTGATTTATACATTGACCAAAGACTATAATTCTCTTCTATTTAATATAGTGTCCCTACTTTTTCCTACACAATTATATAGTTAACATTGACTATTTTTTTAATTAGTTAGAGGTCGTAGTCCAGTAAAATACTGGTAGATGCAACTGGTAAATGGTCATAACCCAAAAGTATTTTTTACTCTTTCAAAGAATTAACTCACTATGAAGAAAGATAAATCTCAACTAAACTTAGCCAACAAAATGAATGATGATTTTATTGCTGACTCTTTGATTGTGTGCATTGAAAAAATACTACAAAGAAATTTAGGATATAATCAATCAAATATAAGCAACTTTTGAGAATTGAATTACATCACATTCCTTGTTTTGTCATATTTTGCCCCCAATGACCTACAATCCTGGCTCTGCCCCTAGACGTCCTAGAGGTAAGGTGAAGATGAGTGATACTTGCAGAAGTTCCTTCATGCTAGATCTCAATACACCTGGTTTAAGCATGTTTTGTTTAGTCTCTGAAAGGAAAAAGTATGTGGCAATGTCTTCAGCTGATGATTTTTTATTTTATTTATGCATCAGTGAGCATAACTGCAGAGGAGAAATTTTTCCACTGAGAAACTATTAGGAAGTTGAGAAGCATTTTCATGCCACTTGTAATTTTGTTGAGATTGTCATTTACATCATATGAAATTCCATGGGGTTAAGCTCTTGCCTATCGGCATACGACTATATCTCATCTCGGTGATCTTGTGCATAATCAGGTAGTGAACCACAGTACGTCTCCAGAATGGAAAGAAGGGTTTACGTGGGCCTTTGATGTACCACCGAAGGGACAAAAGTTACACATTCTGTGCAAAAGCAAAAATACTTTTGGAAAGGTAATTAGCTTTCAGTTTTATGATATAATTTTGAATCCCTCATGAAGTCGGCAATTTCTATTCCTAAATTTTGTAATAGCCAACCAATTTGCCAATTACATCACAAATCATTATTACAAAAGGGCACTACCCTCAGTTTAATGAAAAGGCATACAGGTAAACCTTGATACTTTCTGAAACTGATGATGGTGCCCATCATATCACGATATAGCATGTTGTAATTGGCAACAGATTAAAACAATAGCAGAGGACAACCCTTTTTCTTTGATGCTGTTCTGGTAGTTTTTGATTTGTCAATTTTGGGCTTTTTAGTCAACTCTAGGGAGAGTGACCATCCAAATTGACAAAGTTGTCAGTGAAGGAGTATACAGCGGTCTTTTCAGCCTTAACCATGACAGCAACAAGGATGGTTCTTCCCGGACGCTTGAAATTGAGATTACCTGGTCCAACGGGATATCAAATGACAGCATGTGAAGGATTTAATTGTGTTTTTGTAAAAGTTGATGAATCAGGCGTTCCAAGCTACTCAGCTATACAATGGAGGAGCGTTACTGATGACTGCATCCCAATGTGATGTACAGACGCAGGGTGCTGTTCTGCCTGTAAGTATTCATATCCATTGATGGTCCAGTTTTGTGTTTTCGAAAGGTTATGCTATCTGGGGTATAAAATGTAAAAAAATCAGTAATTTGCAGAGGTGAGAAGAGGCAAAAGAAAAGGTTCCCGGGTGGGTCGGTTATTTCAAAGATAGTTTAGAGTTTGTTGTACAGGTCAGTCTGTAGATGCTAGTGATCTAAACATGTTAGAGAAAATGGCATTAAGAAAGGAAGAGACTCAGCTTTTGCAAGTGCTCCTATTCTAATAGCATAAAGGGCTGCAGTCATGCTTCAATGGCCTTCCATGGGATTATATTACTAAATACAAGCAAGTTACAATTAAGGGATATATTCTTTTTAATTCCAGGTAAGCTCACTTGTTCTTTTCGACTTTATACCGGTACATGACTCCTACAATCCGGGACTAATGAAACCCGAAAAGCACACGATAATATGCCTTTTACTGGTTCTTTTTTTTTTTTTTGAGCTTCCTCTTTAACTTTATTAATGAGATAGTATTCTTTTTTTTTTTTCTTTGCTGGTTAAAAAAAGGGGTGGGAGCAAAGAAGAGTGTCCAGCGATCACCCCGATAGGCCCTCACTAGTGGGATCATNGAGCTTCCTCATTAACTTTATTAATGAGATAGTATTCTTTTTTTTTCTTCTTTGCTGGTTAAAAAAAGGGGTGGGAGCAAAGAAGAGTGTCCAGCGACCACCCCGATAGGCCCTCACCAGTGGGATCATAAAGCCCCTGACCGCTCCTGAAACATCTTTCGGGACCAAACCTAGCTAGGCTAGTATAACGGTCAACCACCAAGTTCTAATGTGGACTCCAAGATTCGAACTCTCAACTTCAAGGGGAAGAGTAAGACCGGTATCTCACTAGACTACCCTGATTAATGAGATAATATTCGATTTTTGTACATCGAACTGATTTCTTGACATTGGCATGTGTACTAACTACCACACCATGGAAGGAAGGAAACCAAGTATTTGGGTTACGTCGAGAAAAACAATGAGTGCACCAGCAGGTCCAAATTCCAAATGCTTTCTGCACAATGGGGCTTTTTGCACTATGTACCATGAAAGATTTTAAGTTTTTCACTTTGTACCTTTAAAGATTAAATTTTTTATATTACATTTTCAATGTATCAAATGTGTTGTAATGTGACAGTTATGTTAATTTTCATTATTTTTTTCATTAAAAGTCAACCCGTTGACACAGATTAAAAAATTAACGAAAAGTTAACAAAATGATCATATTACAACAATTTAAATACATTAAGGGTATAATTTAAAATATTGATGCAAATGTTTCAAATGTTAATTTTATTTTAAGAAATTTATCCATAATTATCTAGATAATTAATCTATTTAGTTATAGTCAAACTCAGTTGTAATGACTGTATATATTAAAAAACGGATCAAATAAAATGTTAAATCTATCACATTCACAAGCCTATTAAACAAATCATAGATGTAGGAACAATTTAATTGATCACAAATAAATTGTCCGTGTCGGATATATCGAATCAAATTAATCTAAAATTTTATTGATAGACAAAATTTTAAATATAAGATGAAAGATAGATAATTAAAGATTCAAGATTGAGTCATGACATTGAGTCGTATAAGATAAGTTTCAGTCTAAATTTTAATTTATTAAAAATTTTCACTTATTTGTAAAAGTTAATGGGGGCATCTTGTAACGAAATTTAAATGGAGAATTACGCTCATATCACTTGAAATTTATTAATTAATCACTCAACTTTCCTAATATTTTAAATATTACACATAGACTGTTTTAGGTTTGTATGTGCGCAATACTTAAACCCTTGCTGTCAATGTTCGTTAATATATTGGTTAGTAAATTATACTCAAATCTCCTGAAATTTGTAAGTAAATAATACTTATATCCCTCAAATTTAAAAAATTATACTTATACAAAAAATATTCAAATCACATATAGAATATCAAATATTTTAAATTTTACAAATAAAATGTATGTTCTATTGTATCATTTATTAAAATAAAATCAAAAATAAAAATCTATTTTTTTCTTAAAAAATATAATTAATATACAACCTATTGGAATAAAATTAAAAAATAAACAAGTGGTCTAAGTCATTCATAATAGAACATGAATTTTAGTTATAAAATTTATTGAAATAAAATCAAAAAAAAAAAAAATCATGTTCTAACAAAAATCTAATTTTAATATATAGTATAATTGTACTAGTCATAACCCGTGCATGAAAATACTATCGAACATAAAATTCGAGCCCCTAAAAAATTATTCGCACTATAATTTTTCTTTCATTTATTTATTTGATTACATCATTCAAATTTTATTTTTACACATTATTTTCTTTAAAAAATTGACAAATTTTTTTCAAAAAATAAAATTCAATAAAATGTTCTCAACATGTGTATACTATCGTGTATGAGTAATGTCTAAAATAAAAATTATTAAATTACAAATTAATCAAATGTTAAATTATTGAACATGTGATAGAAATTGATGATATGATTGTTTTAGGAGGAAAAATATATAAAGGATAAAATTCAACTTCTTATGTATTTTATTATATAAATATTAATTATAATTTTTTAAGAAAAAATAGATTTTTATTTTTGATTTTATTTTAATAAATGTCATAATATAACATAAATTTTGGTCGTAAAATTTAGTATATTTCATATTCAATATTTAATTGGAGTATTTTTTGTTTAAGTATAATATTTTAAATTTTAAGGGTGTAAGTATTATATGCCTATAAATTTTAGAGGGTCTAAATATAATTTATTAACACACATTGACAACAGAGGTTTAAGTGTTATTAAACGCATACAAACCTCATAGAGTCTGAGTATAATATTTTAAATATAAAAAGGTCTGAGTGATTAAGTGATAACCTNACAAGCAAGTTACAATTAAGGGATATATTCTTTTTAATTCCAGGTAAGCTCACTTGTTCTTTTCGACTTTATACCGGTACATGACTCCTACAATCCGGGACTAATGAAACCCGAAAAGCACACGATAATATGCCTTTTACTGGTTCTTTTTTTTTTTTTTGAGCTTCCTCTTTAACTTTATTAATGAGATAGTATTCTTTTTTTTTTTTCTTTGCTGGTTAAAAAAAGGGGTGGGAGCAAAGAAGAGTGTCCAGCGATCACCCCGATAGGCCCTCACTAGTGGGATCATAAAGCCCCTGACCGCTCCTGAAACATCTTTCGGGACCAAACCTAGCTAGGTTAGTATAACGGTCAACCACTAAGTTCTAATGTGGACTCCAAGATTCGAACTCTCAACTTCAAGGGGAAGAGTAAGACCGGTATCTCACTAGACTACCCTGATTAATGAGATAATATTTGATTTTTGTACATCGAACTGATTTCTTGACATTGGCATGTGTACTAACTACCACACCATGGAAGGAAGGAAACCAAGTATTTGGGTTACGTCGAGAAAAACAATGAGTGCACCAGCAGGTCCAAATTCCAAATGCTTTCTGCACAATGGGGCTTTTTGCACTATGTACCATGAAAGATTTTAAGTTTTTCACTTTGTACCTTTAAAGATTAAATTTTTTATATTACATTTTCAATGTATCAAATGTGTTGTAATGTGACAGTTATGTTAATTTTCATTATTTTTTTCATTAAAAGTCAACCCGTTGACACAGATTAAAAAATTANTGTACTAGTCATAACCCGTGCATGAAAATACTATCGAACATAAAATTCGAGCCCCTAAAAAATTATTCGCACTATAATTTTTCTTTCATTTATTTATTTGATTACATCATTCAAATTTTATTTTTACACANCGCACTATGTACCATGAAAGATTTTAAGTTTTTCACTTTGTACCCTTAAAGATTAAATTTTTTATATTACATTTTCAATGTATCAAATGTGTTGTAATGTGACATTTATGTTAATTTTCATTATTTTTTTCATTAAAAGTCAACCCGTTGACACAGATTAAAAAATTAACGAAAAGTTAACAAAATGATCATATTACAACAATTTAAATACATTAAGGGTATAATTTAAAATATTGATGCAAATGTTTCAAATGTTAATTTTATTTTAAGAAATTTATCCATAATTATCTAGATAATTAATCTATTTAGTTATAGTCAAACTCAGTGATAATGACTGTATATATTAAAAAACGGATCAAATAAAATGTTAAATCTATCACATTCACAAGCCTATTAAACANGGAGTATTTTTTGTTTAAGTATAATATTTTAAATTTTAAGGGTGTAAGTATTATATGCCTATAAATTTTAGAGGGTCTAAATATAATTTATTAACACACATTGACAACAGAGGTTTAAGTGTTATTAAACGCATACAAACCTCATAGAGTCTGAGTATAATATTTTAAATATAAAAAGGTCTGAGTGATTAAGTGATAACCTTAGAGTATCTAAAAGTAATTCTCTCAAATTTAAATTTTCCAAAAACTTTCCATAGATCTTAATTTTTTTTTAATTTCAGGGGGCCAATTGCCCCCACCTCCCCCCTTACATCCGCCTTTAGTGGGGTCCCCAAATATAAGCCAAACATATAGGGGACAAGATACAATGATGGTACCACATAACCCAAGTAAGTCTTGTTCAACTTCTTTGGGGATGCACATCTTGTTTTGCATCTATGTTCTATTATTAATCATATATTCCATTAAATCATAAGTTTATTAAGTTAACATCTGAGCTTATCAAATTAATGTAATTTTTTTTAATTTAACATCAAATTAATATTCAATTTAATCAAAAAAACATTCAAATTTATTCAATTAACATTAAATTTTTCAGATTAACAATAATTTAATATTTAATATTATCAAAATAAAATAAAATAAATATTTAAATTTATCAGACCAAATTTCTTCAACTAATATTAAATTTTATCAAATAATATTTAAATTTGACATGTAAAGGGTAATGTATGAAGAGTGGTTGAGTGAGATTTTGGAGGACAAACAATATAGCAAAGGAGTTGAAAATGGGTGAGACATTGACATTGACTTTATCGATTGTAATTTTTATCGTAGAGAAAACATTTTTAACTATAAAAACTATAAAAAATATATTATATGACAAAATGAGTGATAATATAATGACTAATATTTATATTAATATTATAAACAAATATTTTTGATGGTATTTATAACAAAGTTATCATACAATGCTTTAAAATGATAAAAATTTATTGGGATCAATTGAAAATTACTATAATTCACCTTATTTTTTAGTAAAATGTTAAAATTAATTTTTTTCCCAATTTTATTTTATTTGTATCAGTGTTATGAAAAGCGCGCCTAGGCGCTTGCCTAGGCGAGAAGCGAGGCGAGGCGAGACTTGCTCGCCTGGAGGAACCCAGGCGAAGCGAACCTGAGCGAGGCGAGAAAAAAGCGAGGAAAAACGAAAAAGCGAAGAAGCGATCGCTTTTGTTATGCGAGGCGAATTTTTAATTTAGACCGTAGGATTGGGCGATTGCAAAAAAAATTTTAAGATGTTAATGTACCGAATTATTCCCTTATCCTATAAATAAAACTCCTAACCTAATTTTGTTAATTTTTTTNAAATTAATCGCACTATATTAAATAATAATTTTTCTTTCATTTATTTATTTGATTACATCATTCAAATTTTATTTTTACACATTATTTTCTTTAAAAAATTGACAAATTTTTTTCAAAAAATAAAATTCAATAAAATGTTCTCAACATGTGTATACTATCGTGTATGAGTAATGTCTAAAATAAAAATTATTAAATTACAAATTAATCAAATGTTAAATTATTGAACATGTGATAGAAATTGATGATATGATTGTTTTAGGAGGAAAAATATATAAAGGATAAAATTCAACTTCTTATGTATTTTATTATATAAATATTAATTATAATTTTTTAAGAAAAAATAGATTTTTATTTTTGATTTTATTTTAATAAATGTCATAATATAACATAAATTTTGGTCGTAAAATTTAGTATATTTCATATTCAATATTTAATTAGAGTATTTTTTGTTTAAGTATAATATTTTAAATTTTAAGGGTGTAAGTATTATATGCCTCTAAATTTTAGAGGGTCTAAATATAATTTATTAACACACATTGACGACAGAGGTTTAAGTGTTATTAAACGCATACAAACCTCATAGAGTCTGAGTATAATATTTTAAATATAAAAAAGTCTGAGTGATTAAGTGATAACCCTTAGGGTGTCTAAATGTAATTCTCTCAAATTTAAATTTTCCAAAAACTTTCCATAGATCTTAATTTTTTTTTAATTTCAGTGGGCCAATTGCCCCCACCTCCCACCTTACATCCGCCTTTAGTGGGGTCCCCAAATATAAGCCAAACATATAGGGGAGAAGATACAATGATGGTACCACATAACCCAAGTAAGTCTAGTTCAACTTCTTTGGGGATGCACATCTTGTTTTGCATCTATGTTCTATTATTAATCATATATTCCATTAAATCATAAGTTTATTAAGTTAACATCTGAGCTTATCAAATTAATGTAATTTTTTTTAATTTAACATCAAATTAATATTCAATTTAATCAAAAAAACATTCAAATTTATTCAATTAACATTAAAATTTTCAGATTAACAATAAATTAATATTTAATATTATCAAAATAAAATAAAATAAATATTTAAATTTATCAGACCAAATTTCTTCAACTAATATTAAATTTTATCAAATAATATTTAAATTTGACATGTAAAGGGTAATGTATGAAGAGTGGTTGAGTGAGATTTTGGAGGACAAACAATATAGCAAAGGAGTTGAAAATGGGTGAGACATTGACATTGACTTTATTGATTGTAATTTTTATCGTAGATAAAATATTTTTAACTATAAAAATTATAAAAAATATATTATATGGCAAAATGAGTGATAATATAATGACTAATATTTATATTAATATTATAAACAAATATTTTTGATGGTATTTATAACAAAGTTATCGTACAATGCTTTTAAAATGATAAAAATTTATTGGGATCAATTGAAAATTACTATAATTCACCTTATTTTTTAGTAAAATGTTAAAATTAATTTTTTTCCCAATTTTATTTTATTTGTATGCATTTTTTACATTATTATGTTGAATGATTCTATTTTGTGTTAAAAATAATTTTAATAAATATAAATATATCATTCTACTNTTTGATAATTTTGTAGAGCGTATTGGTGAAGGCTTGTATGCATTTTTTACATTATTATGTTGAATGATTCTATTTTGTGTTAAAAATAATTTTAATAAATATAAATATATCATTCTACTTAGCAAAAAAAAATAAAAAATTAAACTTTATAAAGTGTCCACCCAAGTTATTTTAGTATAATAACATAATAGGAAGTAAATTTGACATTTTGAAATAATATTTAATCAAATTGTTCACTTTTTCTATTGTTAGAGACGAAAAATATTGGTAAAGGGTGCTAGTGATTTTACAATACAAACTAGAAGGAGATGAAGTGAAATTTTAAAATAAAAAAGAANTTAAACTTTATAAAGTGTCCACCCAAGGTATTTTAGTATAATAACATAATAGGAAGTAAATTTGACATTTTGAAAGAATATTTAATCAAATTGTTCACTTTTTCTATTGTTAGAGACGAAAAATATTGGTAAAGGGTGCTAGTGATTTTACAATACAAACTAGAAGGAGATGAAGTGAAATTTTAAAATAAAAAAGAAGTATTATTGAATTTAGACAAAACTATAAGGGTGTCGATGAAACTTACCCTATCTTATATTACGCGGATTACTTGATTCTCTAACTTGTCTACTTCAAAATTCAAAGCAAAAGTCTATTCCANAAAAAAGAAGTATTATTGAATTTAGACAAAACTATAAGGGTGTCGATGGAACTTACCCTATTTTATATTATGTGGATTACTTGATTCTCTAACTTGTCTACTTCAAAATTCAAAGCAAAAGTCTATTCCAAGGCCATTCTCGACATTTCACTCCGATAAAATAATAAAAGAAAAATATGCCAAAAAATGGACAATTTCAAGCAAACCACTCCGACTGATAGAAGAAACAACAAAAAAAGAAGAAACAATAAAACCTCGTTTTTGGAGGGATAGGCAAAGGCGGCAAAAAAGCACGACCCGCATGTGACTCTCACCTGACTCTTCCTCTCTCTGACAATGTCTTCTTCGAGGTCTCTCCGGTCGTCAATCTCGCCGTTCCGGTCACGAAGTTTGACGCCGGGACCACCACCTCCTGCTAAACGGCCATCCAAGACGTCGTCTAAGCCGCCTACTTCAAAGCTTCCTTCAAAGCCTTCGATTTCTCCGCCGATTTCGACAACTCCGTCAACGCCGAGCTTTGACCGGCCCGATTCGAGTAAAGCTAAAGAGAATGTGACGGTTACTGTCAGGTTTCGGCCTCTCAGGTACTATCTCGGTTGGTTCTTACTTGCGACATTTATTTTTGCTTGAGGATTTGTCTGTCGTTTAGCTGTTGGTGACGCTGGGTGGCTTTTATGTTTTTCAGTGCTAGAGAGATCAGCAAAGGAGATGAATTAGCTTGGTATGCTGATGGAGACTATACGGTTCGAAATGAGTACGATCAGAACTCTGCCTATGGTTTTGGTTAGTTTCAACTCTGTCTATCCCTTCTCTCTCTCTCTCTCTCTATATATATATATATGTATGTATATATATAGATGTATGTATGTATATTGTAATAGACATATATTTGTGCGTGTGTGTNCTATATATATATATATATATAGATGTATGTATGTATATTGTAATAGACATATATTTGTGCGTGTGTGTGTAAATGCTTGTATTTATTTTATTGTAATTGGTATGTGGTTGGTTTAATTCAAGCTCAACTCTATTTGTGAATATATGTATACATATACTAAGGGTTTCCCCATAGAGAAAGATTGAAAAAATTCCCTACCTCTAACCACCCAGCCCCCCCCAATCCACACCCACCCCTACTCTAATATCATTGGAATTAATTGCTAATAAGTTAAACTGATTTCTTCACAAAAATTGAATGTGAAATAGTTAACAAAGATGGAAAAAAAATTCAAATACGAATTAGTTAACAAAAATGGTAGAAGTGATTACAAACGACACATGTAGGAATTTAATTGGAGTGACCAATATATTTTTATTAAATAATTCAAATTAAGAGAATTTAGTATCTGGAGAGGGAAGTTCTTAAGCATTTTCACCCAAAAGATGGCTGCTTTATACATGGAGATTGACACGTGTGAGTTTAGATATAAATGTTTGTTTTTGTTGCAATGTAATTGGTATGTCGTTTCTTTAATTCAACCTCAACTTGTAATATTATTGAGTGAAAAATTAGAAAGGACAAAATTATGACTGATTATATTTGTGAAACAGTAAATGAAGTGTCGATAGAAGATAGATTAAGAGAGAATCACCTTAAATGTTTTGGACAAGTTTAGAAGACATATTGCTGCCCAAGTGAGTAAGATATGCAAGGGGGAGAGGTAGATCGAAACTTCAATGGTGAAGAAGGATTTATGTTGCTGATCCAATGTAGCTACGATTAGATTTTGTTGGGTTGAGTCTAAATACTCAAACTTGTCACTAAGTCATCAATAAATGCCTTTGATTTAGCCTCTTTTATCCTATTATTTCTTGACATGGTGTTTTCATTATTTGTTGAATTTATTCAGTTCCTAGTCATGATTTAATTGCATGCTTCAAGTCCTCTTCCTTACCCATATCATAGTTAACAAAAATAGTTTAACCCCCAACGATCCACAATCTAGTATAGCGATCCCAAGCGGGGTGTGTTTGTGATCCAGATTATTTAAATATCAACCCCAAATTGTGATACTAACTTTAGATTGATTCGCTTTGGAACATGGATCACAAACATTAAATAAATGTTAATTGACTATTTGCTTATGGGTGTATTTAGATACTAGGTAATCGGACACAAATGTAAAATAAATAGTAATTGACTATGTGTTTATATAGGCATGTCAAAGGATCGGATTTGGACCGGATCTGGGTCCAATCGAATCCGATTAAAAACTCTATTATCGAATTCGATCTGTTTACCTGACATATATAAAAATAATAGTCCATATCCGAATTCACTTATAATTGGACATCTGGTTAGATTATCTCATTATCCAATTTGATTTGTAATGGTATTTCACCATAATTTCAATATATATATTTAAATATTATCCTTTAAAAAGGATAATAAACGGATGGAAAATATTGGTCCATATTTGGTCGAATTTAGATTGAAATATGGTCCATTTATAGGCCTACGTTTATGGATGTATTATTATATATAATTTTATATAGTAGTGAAAACAATCTAGATAAGGGTTTCAAAACAAATTGCAATTCAAAATACCGTACTAACTAAGCCTATCCCCATCACACCACATGCTTAAAAAAGTTTCGTATCGTATATTCGTGTTTGTATCACGTACCAAATGGACCCATGATCTAGGCAACATTTGTCCATGCCCTAATGGTTCATTTTTGTCTCACCACCATCATTCAAGACTTAAGAGTCCAGATTGTTACATGCTTTTCTCAACTATTGAACGGTCTCATAACTTACTGTTAATGATGTCAATTTAATTTCTCAACATTAGTTCCTCCTTGGGCTCACAAAAAGTTGTTTACTGCTATTTGAAAATCGTTTGCTATATTAAACTTGTGGGATTTAGTATAGGGATAGCAATCGTGTTGAGCATGTTTGTGTCGTGTCATTTACGGGTTCGTTCGAGTACTAATCAACCCTAATCCAACCCATTCAACTTATTATATCGTGTCAAACTGACTTGATCATTTTCATGTTGTATTCGTGTTGACCCATATAACATGTGAATAAACAATTTAACACTAAGATTTCATTATAATTTAATCGAACTTATGCGCGTACTTTTTCGACAAATTAAAATTTAACTTAATAAACATAATAATAAAGATGATTAAAAATATTTTTTTTATAATTGATAAAAAATAACAAAAAATGGCATTTTACTCCTCCAATACTATTTAAACGTGTTACTCTTGTCAATTTTGTGTTGTTCATATTTGATACTAACTTAACCCATTTATTAGTTATGTTAACGGTTAGTGTTATTTACGAGTTCGTGTCGAGAAATGATCAATTCTAACCCATTAATTTTGTGTTGATTCTGAGTCATGTTTCGTGTCATGTCAAAAATTGTCACCTCTAATTTAGTTTCCCTAGTTGCACGAAGGATTTGCGTTATATTTTTTGATATTTATTAAATTTTATTTTTTGATGTGTTTGGACTTAGCTATCGCCTTGATTTCTCATGAACAATGCCATATTTCCTTGGTGCAGACAGAGTCTTTGGTCCAGCAACAACTACTCGCCATGTTTATGATGTTGCAGCCCGACATGTTGTTAGTGGTGCCATGGAAGGAATTAATGGTAATTGCTTTTCACTATCGAATAACGTTTACAAATCTATGAAGCCATCATCGATGCCTTGACTGTGAAGTCACGACTTGTTTATAAGAGGGATTGCTGAAAAGATAATTCATCTGATATCTTTACTAGGTTTCATTCCTGCTGCTGAAATGCCTGATTTTTTCCTTTCATGGACACTGGGATTGGCAGTTAATTAAACCATAAATGCTGTTCTCATAATCATTTTGTTGTCACCATTGTTCATTATGACAGCATTCGTGAAATATGCACATGATATTTGACATCTGGGTTATTCCCCTTTTCAAAAACATGATTCATATTCTTTTGGTACCTTTTAGTGGGAGAATTAAATAATCTTCATATGTTTCTTCTTGCGTTTCATTGATATTCTTTGCCCTGGCAAAAAGTAGCTTAGATATTGGAGCTGTAATTATAATTGATGAGAAAACTAATCTTTGCAGTTGAAGCAGTAATTTAGGATTCAATTTTTTGCAGTCTTAGTCTTTCTCTTTCATCTTGCTGCTTTATTGATGGTTTTGTTTTTTGTGCAGGTACAGTATTTGCATATGGTGTTACTAGTAGCGGGAAGACTCATACGATGCATGTAAGCAACTATATCAGTTTTGTACTTATCCCTCATGCTCTCCGTCTTCTTAATATGTTCATTAAGAGTAAAAGGAGGTTCAGTGGTGCTGTCACCCCCAATTTATAAGACTGGTGGTAGAGGGCTTGGAATGAAAGCAACCTTGTGACTTAAGAATGGTAAAGGTCATCTGATCAAACTATACAGCCATCTGGCCTGGTAAAAAAATCAAACATATGTTCCATCACATCATTTTTTGAGTACTGGCTTAGAAGTTTTCTTTTGATGACTTAAGAAGGATAGATTCTTTATGTTTGGAAATAGTCTATGACCGCATCATTTTCAAACTCAAAATATCATAGTTTCCCTATTAAGCTGTTATCTTGAGGCCAAACTATGTATTGGAGCCTATATATCAGTAATTACATGCTGTCAAATGTCTTGAATTTCATTGGCTGTTGTGTGGATATCTTTTTCGTCTTGATGATTGCTGCCGTGATGGCTATGACCAGATTCTGCAAACACTTAAAGATGCTAGTAAGCCACTAAACCTTTTTGATAACGACCTTGGGAAAATGATTTTGCTTTAGAAATTAAAAATTGCCCAATTTCTCTCCCTATAAACATTAATACCTACTGTGGGCAGAAGCCAAAGAACTACCTGACAGGACAAATGTAAGAAATCACCACTTCAGGGCCATAGCCATTTTTTGTGTGAAAGAACTAAAATATTTCTAGCCAAGTATTAGAAGAGAGATTACAAGCTTGTAGGTTCTGAATGACACTCGTAATGCAGTCCTGTTGGTCATGAAAGACAGTTTTTGTATTTGGTTGGACAGCGTTGTTAGAATGATCCCTCAAAGAGCAGGTATTAGCTGCTCCTCTAGGGCATAGGCAAACAATTTAAATGTCTTGGTTTTTTGGCGCGGAATCAACTGTGATATTTTTTACTAACCATTGGAATAAGATGTGCAAATTTTTGTTTCAATTAGATATTTGGAATTGGGGCATTTGATGTAGACCACTTGGGAATCCGATAGCTTTTAGTGTTGGTTGACCCCATTGAATAGCATATCAAATCCTGAATTAGACAAGTACATTTTCGGTAGAAATGTACAATTTCAAACAATATAGGCTTTGATTCCATGTGTTAAGGGTTTTGAAATTAAGCACAAGAAGTAGAAATTAAAATAGTGAAATCATAGTTTTGTTCCTGCAATTCCTTCACCATGTCCCTCAAATAGTCACTTAAACATATTATGTTGTCAATTTATTTTGTTCCTTAGCAAAATGTGACCTTGGTTTCCAATTTTCTTTTTCTTTTTGCTGCCTGCCCCTGGAAAGGGGGAGGGGTGGGGTCACCTCAAGTATGTCTGGATGAATGATTATCTGTATCCGATTCAACTGATGCCCAATAGACCTATTCTGGTTACAATTGAGTGTATGAATTGGTCCATGCTTGATGAAGTTACTAAAGTAATCTTAAGTACATTAATCTAACCCAGTCCCTTACTTAATAAAATTACTAGAATAACACAAATGTTTTACAAGTAAAATGACAACCAAAACTAACTTTAATAAGGAAAAAAAAAGAACGAATCCTAGAACCTAATAAAGTATATAAGACACACTCTAACAGCTGAACAAATCAAATCTCTAGAACCTTCTTTTGTTTTAGGCTTTATGGATCATCCTTTGCCCCCAATTTGTTTTCAGAAGCTACCAAATGGGCCTCATGTGCACATGGTACATGCAAAATACGAAAGTTGGCACTTTATATGCTCAGTTGTATCTGAAATTATTGATGGAAACTCAGAATTCCATACCAGAATGAGCTCAACATGTCTGAAGCGCTAAATAATAGAATTGAGCCATGTGCTTCATATGGATAATGGGGAACCAGATGCAGTCAGAGAGAATTCTATCTGACACTCTTAGAACTAAGCATTGATACCATGCCAAACAACCACATGCTTGAAAAGCTTATGCTTGTTGGAAACGAGTAATATAACTCTTCTGTGACCACTCCCAATGCCCAACGTTGGTAATTTTTTTTTTTGTGATTTAGAGATGGATATCTCAACTTCCTTAGAAACACTTCACTTCTGCTCCTTCCATGAATTCCCCACAGAGCAAAGAGCAGCCTTCCAAGCATCCTTGTGCTCTTGCTACTTGCTAGTGCATCTTGTCATCCAACTGCTGAGTGGGGATCACACCCCCAAGATGGGCAGGTGGAAGTCCCGGAATCTCTAGCTAGCTTATAATGTATCTAGACGTGGTTCACCACTTTTTCCGTTTATTGCGAAATATCAGTTAGGAGCATTTCCTTGTGTGGCCCAAATTATCCATTGTCAGACTAGCCTCCATGGGTATGATTCTAATGATAAAGTTAACCTCTGAAGGTACCTCACCTGCCATGGGCTCTTCCAAAAGATATTCCACTCTTTTCCCACACCACTATCTTTAAAAATTACTTTCTGCTAAGGAGCCATTGCTTATTGCCTTCAATCCCAGAAACTTGTCCAGATGCCCTTGCATTTCAAGCTCGTAAAGCACCTCAAAAAATCAATTACTGCTTCTTAACTCCCTTTATATTCATCAAATAAGCATTACAATGCTGATACTTTATTATCCTTTTGTTAGAAGTCCAAATTCGAACACTTATTTGGATCGTATATCTTCTTTTCTCAGGTATCTATCCTTGTACTTCATTTTAAAATCTAAATGTTCCTGATCTTTGTCATGGGTTGCGGACACAAGAATCACCAAGGAAAAAAATTGGCTCGAGTTTGCATGCCTGAAGTTGTTTATTAGAAGTCATTCTGGGGCATTAAAAAAAGTCACAATTCCTAAAACTTGGTTCCAGGTGCACTGTTTGTTTTTTTTAAATTCCTGAATCCGAAACTTGGTTTGTAGTCTACAATACACTATTTAAGGAGTTTCTTTCTTTAGTTTTGATGCTTAAATATTTGAGCTAAGAGGGCTATGTACATGTGTGTGGACGCATGCCATATGTGGGCCATTTTTCCGGCTTAGTTGGGTAGGTGTTTTTTTTTGCTTTAAGTTTGTAATTTTCCTGTGGGTAAAATTCATTCCAATATTAGCTGTGCTTTATTCTCAAGTTTTGGGAGGAGCTTCTTGTTCATTTTGCTTAATTTTTAGTTATGCAAATACTTTTGTTATAATTGCTGTTCCATATTGTGTTTAGGGGGAGCAAAAGTCACCTGGAATCATTCCGTTGGCTGTGAAGGATGTGTTCGGTAATATACAAGAGGTAATGCCCCCTCATCTCTCTCTCTCTCTCTCACATGTGCACGCGATATATAAATGTAGGCACCTTTTTTTTGGAGATTGGGTAGCAATTAATTGTTTACTTCCCATGTACTTGCAACTATTTTTTGTGTTTCTACTGCTTTTGTAATTAACTTTAAATGTGTTTTATTAGACACCAGGGCGAGAGTTTCTTCTTCGCGTTTCCTATTTGGAAATATACAATGAGGTCAGTTCCATTTAAATTATTTTCCCTGCATTATTCGTGCTTCCTTTTTGTTTTATTTTTGATAATTATGCCTATGTGCAATAAATATTTTTGATAGAAGAATACTAGAATTTTTAGAATTTTGATTCACGAAAATTGATATAGAAGAAGGAAAAATTACTATGAATGGAGAAATTAACAAAAAGATATCACACAAATGTTTTTGTAATATTGAATTTGGGGTGCATTCTTTTTGTGAAAATTGGAAATGATCAGGAAATAGGAGATTGCAGATCGATATTTAATCGGCCTTGCTGAAATCTTGACAGAGTTTGACAAGAATCTATGTTAGATCTCATTTTCTATAATCTTCTGTTGATGAAGATGGAGCAGGTCTTACTCCCACATACTACACTTGTTATTCATTACGCTCTATGGTCATGCATTAATTATTCTCATCATCTCAATTCTTTCAGTTATATTTAGCCATTCCTGTTCATCCTTAATTTGTTGATGCCACAAAAGAAATACTGTTCCTTTTCTGTATAATTGCATATTACTTCTCTGATGTTTTACTTTCTATCTTATATATAGTTTTTCTTTTTTCTTTAGGTTATCAATGACTTGCTTGATCCAACAGGGCAGAATTTAAGAATACGAGAGGATGCTCAGGTTTGTATGTTGAATTTCTGAGAACGAGTAGTTTAGCATCAAGGCCTCTATATTCCATCATCTTTCCTTTCATCACTTGAAAGGCAAAGTATCATAGTGATTTCTTTTAGTCGCAGGTTGCCACCATGTGATTCGTTATTTGTATGAAGTTGGATGCACTATTTGATGCTAATTGTTGAGAGTATTATTATTATATTGTTATTATTTAATTGTTAGTATTTAATATGGTTGTAATAAGTATCCCTCTCATTACTTAATATGGTTGTAATAAGTATACCTCTCTAAGGGTATACTCGTCTTTTGTGTTTTATTAGTTAATTATAAATAGAAGTTGAGAGTGAGAGATAGGGTAAGTCAGATTACTCTTTACCTCTCTCATATTGTGTTTAGTTATTTCATTATCTAAACTTAACATGGTATCAGAGCTAAATTGATCCAAATTGTGATCTCAATTTTGTACTGAAATTTTGAGTCGGCAAATTCTCGTTCTTTCCCCTCTTTCTTTCCTTTCTTTTTTCTTTGTTTTTCCTTTCCTTATCTATCCCATTCCCATATACTATGTAACCCATTACCATTTTTAGTGATAGTTGTTAGGGCTGTCAAAATCCGACACGACACGATTAACCGACAAGAATCGACTCGAATTAAATGGGTTTGAGTGAGATCTTAACGGGTTTGGGTGATAAACAAGTTGACAAGCCAAACACGTTTAATAAAAGGGTCGTGTTCGGGTGAAACCGTTTATCATACGTTTATCCGTTTAAATAAAATTAATATAATAATAAATTAATAATTGTTTTAAAAAAATAACAAGAAAAAAAGAAGTAAAAAAATCAACAAAAAAAAGAAGTTTTTGTTAATATCATAAAAATAATTAATCAATGTCTTTTGTTTTTGTTTTACATTGGAAAATGTGGGGGGATGGGGAGTGCTGAGTTGCCTATAAAAGATAATGGTCTCTTGCTTTTTTTTTTTAAGCCTTCAAGTCTTATTTTTATGATATTTGACTAAAAATTCTTCTTTTTTGAGGTAACTGCAATTGACAGTAAAAAAAATTGAAGGATTAAAATTTGTTGATATAATTTTTTTAAAATTAAACGGGTTAAACGTTTTCGTGTCGTGTATGAGTTTATTTATTTTTCACACGTCACCCGTTTAATCCGACACGATTAACACCCCTAATGGTTGTAGTGATGACTTTTAGTTTTGACTTTGTCGCTAAAAACCTTGGTGGTTATTTTGTGGTGGTCGTTGTTGGTTTGGTGTATGTCGTTATTGCTGCCGAAGTCGTCTGTCGTCTATGCTCATGCACTGGGCTGAGCGTCTATGATTACCGTCGTCATTGGGTGTGTTGTGGTGGTCACAGGTTTGGTGCGGAGGNATTATTATATTGTTATTATTTAATTGTTAGTATTTAATATGGTTGTAATAAGTATCCCTCTCATTACTTAATATGGTTGTAATAAGTATACCTCTCTAAGGGTATACTCGTCTTTTGTGTTTTATTAGTTAATTATAAATAGAAGTTGAGAGTGAGAGATAGGGTAAGTCAGATTACTCTTTACCTCTCTCATATTGTGTTTAGTTATTTCATTATCTAAACTTAACATGGTATCAGAGCTAAATTGATCCAAATTGTGATCTCAATTTTGTACTGAAATTTTGAGTCGGCAAATTCTCGTTCTTTCCCCTCTTTCTTTCCTTTCTTTTTTCTTTGTTTTTCCTTTCCTTATCTATCCCATTCCCATATACTATGTAACCCATTACCATTTTTAGTGATAGTTGTTAGGGCTGTCAAAATCCGACACGACACGATTAACCGACAAGAATCGACTCGAATTAAATGGGTTTGAGTGAGATCTTAACGGGTTTGGGTGATAAACAAGTTGACAAGCCAAACACGTTTAATAAAAGGGTCGTGTTCGGGTGAAACCGTTTATCATACGTTTATCCGTTTAAATAAAATTAATATAATAATAAATTAATAATTGTTTTAAAAAAATAACAAGAAAAAAAGAAGTAAAAAAATCAACAAAAAAAAGAAGTTTTTGTTAATATCATAAAAATAATTAATCAATGTCTTTTGTTTTTGTTTTACATTGGAAAATGTGGGGGGATGGGGAGTGCTGAGTTGCCTATAAAAGATAATGGTCTCTTGCTTTTTTTTTTTAAGCCTTCAAGTCTTATTTTTATGATATTTGACTAAAAATTCTTCTTTTTTGAGGTAACTGCAATTGACAGTAAAAAAAATTGAAGGATTAAAATTTGTTGATATAATTTTTTTAAAATTAAACGGGTTAAACGTTTTCGTGTCGTGTATGAGTTTATTTATTTTTCACACGTCACCCGTTTAATCCGACACGATTAACATCCCTAATGGTTGTAGTGATGACTTTTAGTTTTGACTTTGTCGCTAAAAACCTTGGTGGTTATTTTGTGGTGGTCGTTGTTGGTTTGGTGTATGTCGTTATTGCTGCCGAAGTCGTCTGTCGTCTATGCTCATGCACTGGGCTGAGCGTCTATGATTACCGTCGTCATTGGGTGTGTTGTGGTGGTCACAGGTTTGGTGCGGAGGCGTTGTTCAGTTGGAGGTCTGGTGTAGCGTCGTAGTTTAGCGCCGTCAACGACTAGGGTTTGTTTGGATGGATTTTTGGGGAGGATTTGAATTGGCTTCTCCAAATCTTTTCAAATCTAAACCGTTCTTTATAAAGATGAGATTTAACATTTAATCCAGTCCATATTCATGTTTGGTATGCAACACATGCACATGTAGGACCCCACTGATATATCATAATTATTAATCCAAATATGGAGTTTGGGGGTCCTTTGGACTATTTTTCCCAAACCCATCTTGCCAAGCCTCCTATACTCCTTTACCAAACAACCCCCTAGGGTTCCATTGAACCCATCACAGTGGAGAAGACGAAGTCCGGGCTATCCGGGTTGACCCTTTGGGTTATAATTTATACTTGGGTCACGGGCTTTATTATTGATCTAGTCCACTCCAATTTGGACCCAACAGAGGCCAACTCTTAGCCCATTTTGCTTAAGTCCAGTATAGGCCCAAAGCCCCTTAAGCCCACTTTGACTAGGTCTAGCCCAAATCAGTTGATCAGGACCACTCCAAATCAGATTCAGCCAAAATCGGTTCAACTTATCTAGTTCAGTGAGATTCAGATTGATTTAGGTACAGTTTGAGCCAGTTCAGGCATAGATCAGTCCAGTTCTGATTATTTTACAACCAGTTCACACTGGTTCCATTGTTTTCCTTCTAGTTCTATGATCTCCAGCCGGTTCAGAGGCTTTTTTAGGACCGGTTCCATCTAGTTCTACGATCTCCAGTCGGTTTAGAGGTTTTTGCAGGGTGGTAGACCAATCGATGTTTCTATGGATCTGAATCAAAAGCAGTTGATGGATGATGATGTACTGTTTAAAAATCCAGGTCAGTATGGGCATTTCGAGTTCACAGTTATGCCTTTTGGATTGACAAATACCCCGACGGCATTCATGGATTTCATGCATAGGGTGTTCCAACCTTATTTAGATCAATTCATCGCGGTGTTTGTTGATGACATCCTGATCTACTCTAAGTCTGAGGAGGAGCATGAGGGTCACTTGAGGATTATTCTCCAGACCTTGAGGGACCAATCAGTTGTACGCCAAGTTCAGCAAATGTGAATTTTGGCTTACGGAGGTGAAATTTTTAGGATGCGTGGTGTCGGCTTGTATCCACATCCTTCAATACCTCAAATGTACCCCAATACTTTAGGTTGTTGTATAGAGCTAATTTGCATTTAGAATGAAAGGTTTTACAAATGTTTGTTGGACTGGTTTTCCCTCAGATCAAAGATCAACTACTGGTTATTGTACTTTCTTGGGAGGTACCGTTGTTACATAGAAAAATAAGAAATAAACAGTGGTAGCACGGTCCAATGCCAAGGCCGAGTATAGATCAATGACACATACAACTATTGAGTTGATATGGTTACTACACTTTCTTCGAGAAATTGGTTTTCCAATTCAACTTCCCTTACAGATGTTCTGTGATAATTTGGCAACTCTTCATATTGCAGTCAATCCTGTATTCCTTGAGAGGACTAAACTTGTTAAAGTTGATTGTCACTTTATCCGAGACCATATACTGGATGAAGATATTGCAATACCATTTATGAAATTAGAGGATATGTTCACCAAGACATTGAGTCGCATTCGTCTTACGACCATTTGTTCCAATCTTGGATTATATGATATATATACTCTAGTTTGAGGGGAAGTGTTGAGAGTATTATTATTATATAATATGGTTGTAATAAGTATATGAGTGTAACAGTTACTAGCTATTCTCTTTCCCTGATGAAATGCTTCTAGGTGATCAAAGTTGTGCCCGTCTATTTAATTAATAGCCGTAGATGTCATTTTCGTCACATGTGCGCATTTGTACCTAAATCCTATGCTCTATGGAAGCTGGGGAGGCTGCATAATGCGTTGAGTGACGTGAGTCTTATTCTGAAAATTTTCCCATTAAGAAAAGGATGTTTATGCACGCGGACACGATTTAGGAAAAAAAGAGATTGTGATGTTCATGCTGGGACTCGTTTTTTATCTTTGGTCCAGAAACATTTTCTTTGGGAATGATTTATTTTATTTAGAAAACATGTGAATCAAGGATCAAAATTTTGTTTTGGTTCATAGTTTTGGTGAACTTGGAAATGAAAACATTGCGAAAACATTTCCAAAACAAGATGAAAATAAAAAAAATAAATTGTTTTTGAAATATTGGTCGAAATACCACGAAATATAGAAATTTTGATATTTAATCAAATTTTCGTTTCGATTTTTATGAAAACAGAAATGTTTCGGACGTTTCGAAATGAAATTTAATTCTTTAATGTGTATAATGATTCTTAGAAAAAGTGTCTTACCTCCTCTCTCTATGATAGATGAGGTTTGGAATGGATCATAACCATATGTACAGAAAGGGCATTGTGATACCCTGAGCTCACCATGAAGTTATCGTCCACCCGCCCTTAGGCTAATGGTTTTAAAACACATCTTGATGGTTAAGACGAGACTGTCACATAAAAAGCCTATTAATCTTTTCCCTCCATATGATGTGAGGCTAAGTACTTGGATTTGACACCTTAATCTCATCTCATCTATTTATTCTATCTTGGTCTTCGGCCTCAGAAGTGTTGACCTCTTGGTCTCTCTCTCTCTCTTTTTTTTTTTTTTAAATTTTTGGATAAGAAACAATACTATTTTATTGATTTGAAAATAGCTACCATATTCCACCACTTAAAAGTCAGACGTCCCTGTGTGGCAACTGGGATCTACCCAACCACCTTGTGGGAGAACTGGTTTTGATACCCCCGTATAACTTCCTGGCCCGGCAATCAAGATATGATCCTCTTCTCCCTCTATGTTATTTTCTTATCTCTTTTATTTCTCTGCACTTTTGTTATGCAAAACTCGCAAATCTTATTTTATCCTACAGCGACAAGACACATCTCATTCACATGGCATAAAACACTTAATGGTGGACAAAATCCACTTTTGTTTTCAGAAATGTTAAATTGACCAATTTGGGGTCCTAATGGTGTGGCAAACCAAGAAAACCAATTAGGTATTCTTGGACCCTTAATTTGTTGGGAGAGAGGCTGCCACATCATTTGGTTCACTATTTTTGATCCCAAATTTTGGTTTGAGTAGCATTGTTGTTCTATTTTTGAGAACACAACACACAGCCACACACCTCATGTGTTCTCACTCACAAAAGTGGATGGCTCTCATGTTTAGTCTTCCTTTAGCTTTATCCAATTCTCTGGTTCTTATTCCATTGTTATCTATATATATGTTCATAATCAATAAACACAAAGAGTGTGTAAATTTTGTACTACACAAAAGTTTGACATAATTCCATTCTCTTCTTGAAAGCCGAAGAACTGCAAAACTGAGTAACTTGTTAAGTGATTAGTCGGTAGTTGAAAGAGTTACTCAAAATCATTATGCATTTAAACCGCGAGTCTACGGACGAAGCAAACAATATCTTAATGTTGGTGTCAAGACGCTGAAATGGTATATATTGGGGACAACGAATGGGGGAGAGGGTGTGGGTTTGTAGATAGTGAATCAAGAAAAAAGACTACTAGAAAGGACCAAATTAAGCTGCACATATGTATTTTTTTCTATCTACTTGACCCAAAGCAAAGGGGCAGCTAGATTTTTGGTGACTTGGTTGCCCGCAGGAGATGTGAGTGGAAAGAGATCTTGTGTCTCATATCAAATGAGTAGGACTATCCATGGTTGGTTTATATGCTTAAGGGGTCTTTCCACTCATTATCAATTCCTTTTGAATTATATGTTCTAACATGGTATAAAAGCTGAGCCTTAGATGGTTAGTGGGCAAGTCTCTTACACATTTGAATTTTCCAGTATGCATATTGATCTGTCTGTTTGTTAACCCCATGTGCCAGGGTGGTTGTCACGTGAGTGAGTGTAAAGAGAGTTTATGTCCCACATCAAATGATTAGGACCACCCATGATTGGTTTATGTGCTTAAGGGGTTTCTCCCCCTCAATGCCAAATGATTTTGGGTTGGATGTTCTAACATGGAGAAGTCAACTTAGCAAAGGTGACAGATCAAAGAAACCTAGTGTCATCAATGATTCCCTAATACCAAATGTTATGCTTTTATTTAAGCGACTACCATGATGAAGCACTTTCCAATTTTCAACGTCCTATCCTTTATGGTCATTGATCCCATGTTGAGCTGCTAAAAAATCCACCTGCATGTGTTTGACCAATTACTCGTCAGACTCTTAGGCTTTTTATTGATCCCTCCCTGTATCAGGGTTATTCTGTGTGGCACCATCGTCCTCTAATTCAAAAGATCTCAAAGAAAATAGCTCGAGGTTGATGACATCTTCCTAAGTCCGCTGCTTTTTCTGACATTTGTCAATTGTTATATAATCTTGTTCATATTCAATTTCTTTCAAGGTGAAATTTTGCTCAATTTCTATCTTTTCCCTGTAAAAGAACAAGCTCTGCTGCTAGATTGCATTTCACCCTTAACGACAAGAGTCGCCTGCTTGTGGCCCCCATCTTTTTTCACCTTATTCATGCTTATTTTTGCTAAGCTATAGGGTGGCACTTCTGCTTCCCTTTCAAATGCTTCAATCTAAGTCAAACTTTTAATTTCAGCCAGGCTGTTTGGAATTTAGAACTGTGGCTACAATTTAGACAAAAACTCTATAGGGTAATGAGTAAACTAAATTTCCCTTGTTTGAATTCTTGCTTCTATATATGTATAATGGCTTATTGACTTGGCAGGGAACTTATGTCGAGGGCATCAAAGAGGAAGTTGTGCTCTCCCCTGCTCATGCTCTTTCATTGATAGCATCTGGGGAAGGTATATTTCTTGAATATTTGTTTCTGCTTCTTTCACAATGTTTTGTGAGCACTAATGCTCTTGGCCTCTTTTTTTACCTAATATGCATATTAGCCAAAATTTTGTTTAATTATTTAATTTAAACTTTTCTCAACCTATCATTTGTGATGTTGTGCAGAGCATAGGCATGTGGGTTCTAATAACTTCAATTTACTCAGCAGTCGAAGCCACACTATATTTACTTTGGTAATTGGTTTGCGTTTTCTCTTGCTTTCATATGTCTTGGGTTTAACAGATTTAAGCTCGTCGTGTTTGTAGCATAAACTATAGCTTATATAAAGGGTTCAATATAAGATCTTGATTTTTGAACTTGTTAGAAAGGTTTGCAATAGTCACTGGGAATGCATAGTCAAAAATCATTTTAGCTTTTCTAAGATTCAAGAGGATTATTGGGTTACGATGATGCAATTAGCTATGATTTTGGATAACGTGGGTTGAAATAGATCAGAAAGTATGGAGAGGGATAGGAGAGAATGAATGTTGACATTCAATATGATGATTTAAGTTCTATATATCAATCATTGAAATGAAAGAAGGAGCACTTGGCCCTTGGTATTACGTACAATTAGAAGATGCAGCTCTGTTTTTAAAGAGCAGTTTTATGTTTTTTTTGTGAAGAATTTTCTTATCATAGATTTCAATCTCAGAAATTTCTCCTTTTTAATGCTGCAAACAAACGTGACTATTGAGGTTTCACTATGATGGGGTGAAGCTTTGGGCCCCGATTCCCTTGACCCCAAAATCTAATTTTTATTCAAATTCTCCCTCAACCCCTCACCCTGCATGCACTACAACCTATCATTATCCCTTACCAACCACCTACCGTCTACTATCTATATCAAGTCCTTCGGAATTAATAAAACAAATACAAAGATAGAGAAAGGGAAGATTGTGACGAGATTGAGAACATGACTCGCTCTGACAAGAGAGAAATGGAAAGATTGTGATGAGATTGGAAACATGACTCACTCTAATAGATATTTTAAGGAGGAAAGTATCCCGAGGGTAGAACAAGAATAGTAAAGTAAGAAACAAGTGTTATATTGGTACGTACCGGAAAAAAATCTGTCTTTGTTTGGTCAATACATATGCGAAGCCTTTCCCATTCCCTCTTTTTCAAATCATTCTTTTACTGGTTGTTGCTGGAAACAAAGGAGGGAGCTCTTCCAGAAAAATCATTCCTTTGCCAGTTGTTGTTGGAAATATAGGAGGGATCTCTTTATTTTAGAATTTTGATTTTAGTTCTTTTATTTTATTTTTGAATTATTAGAAGAACTTTTACTCGCTTATGTCTTCTTCCTTTGCTTAAATAAGAGGTGCAGGACTACAGTTTTTGAGGTCAGACGGACAACCAATAAGCAAAATACATTGGACTACATAACGAGCAAACTGTTTTTTAGTTTCTTTGTCACAAGATGTTGATTACTTTGTTAATTAGTCTATAAAGCAGTGGTGTTGATAATCAGTATTTCTTGAATATTTTGAGTTGTCCATTTATTTTATTACTTCTAATACGGTCTAATGAGTATATTTTTGTAGTAGACCATTGAAAGCAGTCCACGTGGGGGAAATCAAGCGGAAGAGGTGACCTTATCACAGCTGGTAGATTCTGCTCAACTTTTTATTTAATATTGAAAACATTGGTTTTTGTCCTTCCATTTTTTCATGTAGTGTCTGCTGTATTTGTATTTAATTTTCGTTTGTAGCATTTAATTGACCTGGCAGGATCTGAAAGTTCTAAAACGGAGACGATTGGGTTGAGGAGGAAAGAGGGTTCCTACATAAATAAAAGCTTGCTTACTCTTGGCACTGTAAGATGTTGCTTGTATTGTCACTTTTATATTTTTCTCCTTTAAATATCATGTCATACAAATTAAGGTTACTTTCTATTTCTACCCTGCTGACATGGAAATCCCTCTGTGTTGTTTGACTTTCTTCTTTCTTGGGTTGATGTATTAAATTGTTCCTTTCTGTTGCAGGTGTTTTATGATTCATCGTCCTTGAATGTTCTAGATTAATAATAATCTAATTGACCTTTCTGAACATCTGATCCTCATTATGGCATGAAACAGAGCACTACTTGGGAATGCTTTTGTCTAATAGATTCCAAATATCTTTCTATGTGTCTAGCTGCCTACAATCATTTACTTATCTGACTAACTCCCACAATTGTTTTAGTTGGATATAACTTAGCTTCATCATCATTTTTTATCAGTGCAAGCTGCCTTTTTGACACTGTGTATCGAATTCCAGGTTATATCTAAACTAACTGATGGAAAGGCTAGTCATATTCCTTTCCGAGATTCAAAACTTACACGTTTGTTACAGTCGTCCCTTAGTGGTCACGGACGGGTTTCTGTAAGTTCTAGCTCATTAGTTTTTGCTAATAAAATGATCAGCAATTTCTTTTATGCAGCTAATTGTTTATCTGTTACTTAAGTTTGCTATAACATTCTGTTTTCTTCTTTAAACCTTTCTGCAGCTTATTTGCACTTTGACACCTGCCTCTAGCAATACTGAAGAAACACACAACACACTGAAGTTTGCGCATCGTAGTAAATATGTTGAAATCAGGGCTTCTCAAAATAAGGTAGGATTGCGGTTATCATACTGGTGAAAGATGCTAGCTCTGGAAATCTGACCTGGATTAATCATTCTGTCTTATAAGCATGATGTTTCCTCTTAGATTATCGATGAGAAGTCCCTCATTAAAAAGTATCAGAGGGAAATTTCCACTTTAAAACAAGAGCTCCAGCAATTAAAGCATGGCATGATGGAGAATCCAAACATGATGGCACCTAACCAAGATGATCTGGTCAATTTGAAGCTCCAGGTTTGTGTTGTCAGGAAAAGATTCCAAAGTTCTTGTGTTTTAATATTTTTTCATTCTGTGTTTTCTGCTACATTGATCCATGTTTATAAGATCTGAAAAAGGATTTTATGTGGGTTGTCAACTACCTACAGGCTACATCATGTTCCTACTTTATCTGGGTTTGGGACTGGCTGTGTAAAGTTAAGAGAAAGTTCTGGTGATCACTTCTCTCATAAGTCCATAATATAACCACTAAAGCAAAACAGAAAAAAAAAAAAAAAAAAAGTTACTTGCTGATGTTAGATTATTCGTATAGTTTTCAGCTCCTAGGTTACTTGCTATCAGCAATATGCATCTACGGCCACAATAATTGTCAGCATTTCACAGTTATCATCTCAGATTTGGCTCTTCTTTGCATTGCCCAAGCCTCTAGGTGCAGATATGCATAGAGAAGAAGATGAGGACACCAAGTTGGGAGTGTCCACAAGGGTGTCGGTGAGGGAGCACTTGTACCCACCTTGAGAGATTTTTTGTTTTAGTGAAGGGCGAGAGGAGCTTGCATCTCTGGATGGTGTTATCAATGTATTTTGTCTATTATTTTGGGGTGTCTTTTTTAAGGGCAGTCTCTTTTTCTTCCTCCTGTTGAACTGTTAGTGATCCTTCACTATTGTGGCCCTCTTTTTTCTTCTAGTGTTATATTCTGTCCTATTTGAAAACAGAAAGAGATGCTGATGCCAGGTCCTAAAGAGATGGAAATTTGTTGAGGTACCAATGTCAAAGACATAATTTATGTTACAATGTCTACAATAACATGTTTATGGCTTGGAAACATGTAGCAAAAACTATAACAAGTTAAATGGAAAAACAGACGACAAAGAGTCAATACTTAACACATGGATCTTGAAAATGTGAAGTAACCCAAATTTATTTCTAGAGCGCTTTGTGAAACATCCAGTTATATGTCACATTTTTAGGTAATTGTTTCATGTTGTAAGCCTTTCATGTAATTCCCTTTCTTCGTATGAATGATGTTGGTTCCTTCCTATTTTTTTCACTATTACTTGATGTTTGTTCTTTGTCTTATTGGAGGGCAGAGCTTTTATCTCCCTTCAATAGCCATGTTACCTTGTGAACTGTGAAAACACTGGTAAGAGATTTTTGAGCCACTTCCATTGTCAAATTGTGACATAATATCTTTGCAATGGTTAAGATTATTGTCAAAATATCGTTTAAAGGAGATAAGGAGATTTCAATGCCAAAAGATGACCAACCTTTACAATCCAGTTGGCTTCAAGATGCCTTACTATAATTGATTGCTTAGGCTTAGACCTGATGGCATGATAATTGAAATATATTCTGAAATAAATCCTTAGGCTCCGCATTCAATGAGTTTATTGATGTTCATATGAGCTTTGAGCATCAGTTGTGAGGGCTCAATTTCATTTCATATTGTGTATAAGGCTGACTTATTTGGCTCAAAAATCATTATTCATTTTTCCTCGACACTGGCTTGAGTATGACGTTATCACTAACTTTCCCTTGCTTGTGGGCATGCTTTTGATTGACTATACACGTAATGTTACTGTTGAACCTTCATTAGTATTAATACCCTTCTGAAAGAATGGTTGGGCTGGGGAGAAGAATTTTATCCCTGGGTTTGTAGCTCTTATGCATTGAAATGTCAATTTTCACTTGCATTATTGTTATCATTCTTACTGAGTTTTTACTTTTTATGTTGCAAGTTGGAAGCTGGTCAGGTCAAATTACAGTCAAGATTGGAAGAGGAGGAACAAGCCAAAGCAGCTTTGATGGGAAGGATTCAAAAATTGACTAAACTAATCTTAGTTTCCACAAAAAATACACTTCCACCAAATATTCCTGGAAAATCTGGCCATAGGCGGAGGCATTCTTTTGCGGAAGATGAGGTACCTGTTTTATGAATCCATTTAGTTTCGGTCAAAAAAATTTTGTGATGGTCTGAAGACTGATACATGATGTGAATGATTTATTTGTAATCTTAAAAGAGCTATTTCTAAAAGTAGTGATATAATCTTTGCGTCTTTAACATATGAAATTATGGCTCAGATTCCTTACCACATATAACTTCATTGTTGAGGCAGCTAGCCTACTTGCCAGATAGAAAACGCGAATACATCATTGATGATGATGCTGGAAGCATTGATTCTGAAATTCCGGCTGATGGAAGGAGTGACATTACTAATCTTGATGAGCTGGTTAAAGATTTCAAAAGGAACAAGAGGCGTGGAATGCTTGGCTGGTTTAAACTAAAAGTAAATTTTTGTGTGACCCCTCTTTTTCGCTGTAGTTTCTGGCTTGCAATGTTTTGTTCATGCTGTGCTGCTCAAATGGAAAAATGAAGTCAAAAAAAGAAAAAAAAACCAAGAATCTCTTGGTTGATGTTACTACTTCTGTTTCAACCATATTTGAACGATAGATGTACAAGTGTGTATTAAGTTGTATACAACATGTATCGGATTCATATATATTCTATAAAAACCAACACAAAGTGGGGCATGCAATAGCAACTAAGAATGCCTTTTTGATCATCATAAATCAATCTTCATTAAAGCTTTTTTTTTTTTTAAACTTCTTTCCTTGGTTTTCTATTTAGGAGAAGAATAAGATGATAAACCTAGCACATTGTGATCTTTATGCATATAGGATGGATATTTGTTCAAGTTTTGCATGTTTAGTTTCAAATGAAGAGATACTACAAGTATATAAACAATTAGTGTGCTTATAAACAACTTACAATCACCTAAAACACAACGGAAAGAAGGAATTTATATATGCAGTGGTGGATGTTTTTACATATTGCGTAATATCAATTCTTCATTGGCACCACAGAGTTGACACAATTTTTTTAAAGTCAAGTATTTGTTTAAGAACCTTTAGGGAATCAATACATTTTCAAATGTTCTTTCTGTTTTATCTTCATAAAATTATAGATTTGTCCTCCTTTCAAGCCAGAATAAAACAGCTTATTTTTGTAACCATATTTTGATAGATTTTCTGTTGATCTTCTGCTTGAGGCATACCTATATCTGACTTTCCCTTGCAGAAGCCAGAAAATGCTCTTGGATTGTCACTTGGTGTTGATTATGAGAGCTCTGCAAGTGATTCACCTGCATCTTCTTCAAAATCATCACAAAACAAAGTCATGTTTAGTGATGTGAAGGGTGGACAGAGGAAATCAGTCAGTGGAAGTGGAGATGATCCATCAGTTGTTGACTCATTCCCGGAAAGAACCCAAGCAGGTGACTTGTTTAGTGCAACTGTTGGAGGTCGGCGTTTGCCTCCGGTAAGGGAAACTTCTATTTTATTACTTGTTTCCAGGGCCTACTAATGCCAATAGCTATGCTTAAGAACGACCAGCAAATTGTATATTTTTTTGACACCTTTTAAAGTTGGAATACAGTTCACAGTTAAGTTGGATTAAAATAGGCTGCAGCTTATACTTTCTTCTTTTTTCAAAATTAGCTTTACTCTTGTAAATTGCAACAAGCGCACTGTCATTTAGCTGGGCACAAGGAATGCTGTACTGCGGTTTATTTTTTCTTCACCAGATAGTTTTGTTAGCTGGAAAATTGTTAATGTTGGTTGAAAATAGACTGCATGTTCTACTTCCTTCGTCTTCCCTTCCTACTCCTGCACACTCCCTGGTTTTCACTCCTAGACTTTAGGCGTTATTTCTGTAAATTGCATCATGCTTATTCTGTCATTTCAGTTGAGGACAAAGTATGGATCCTGTGATTGGCTATTTTTCCTTTGAATGAATTTTTGACATGGGGACCCCTATTTTCTTATGATCCTATCACAATGCATTTTTTTCCTAGAAAAAATCCTTCTCTTCCGCACCGGTTCCATCCGATCAATCTGCTTTGGCTTAATTTCCTGGTTGGCCTCCAATTTTTTAGCAAGTATGTAATTTCCCTTTTTTGTTGTTTCAAATACCTTCTATATTTTTTGTAAATTTGAAATACCTACCAGGTATTTATTGGAAATTACAAGACATGCTGAAGATGGGCTATATTTTAGTGAAGTAATGCAGATTGACTTGAGAAATATGTGAGTTAAAAGGGATACAAACTAAGTTTAGAGCTCCCATATATATAGCCAATAAAAGTTACAATATGGATAAAAAGGTAAAAAAAGAAAAAACTCTAATAAGCCCTAATAATTTAGGTTGCTATAACTCCAACACACTCCCCCTCAAACTAGGCGCAAAAATGTCAACTAAGCCAAGTTTGACAACGGAGTTTCGACGAATGGATAGAGTGACAGGTTTGGTGAAAACATCCGTAACTTGATCACTGGTCCCCACAAACGATGGAGTGGCAATACCACTGCTAACCTTCTCTTGAAGAAAGTGAACATCGATTTCTATATGCTTCGTTTTCTCGTGTAATACAGAATCAGAAGCGAGCTGAATAGCAGATCGATTATTACAATATAATGTAGATGAAGAAGTCACTAGAAATCCCAACTCGCCAAGAATCGATCGTAGCTAGATAATCTCACACGTGTCAAGTGTCAGTGCCCGATACTCTGTCTCTGCTGATGGGCGAGAGACAACTGACTGTTTCTTGCTCTTTCAAGAGATAAGATGATTCCCTCGAAAAACACAAAATTCCGTAGTAGATCGAATGTCGCACGCTCCCCCATAATTTGAATCTGAATAACAGGTTAGAGAATCAGTTTGAGATCCTGATGCATAGAATAACCCAAGTTTAGGACAAGACCTGAGGTACTAAAGAATATGATAAACTGCATCAAGATGAGGTTGACACGGTCTGTGCATGAACTGACTAAGTCGGCTGACAGCGAATGAAATGTTTGGCCTAGTGTTAGTTAGGTAGACAAATCTACCTACCAACCTCTGATAGACAGTCGGATCACTCAACTCCTCACCTTCAGCAATAAGCTTTAGGTTTGGAATCATGGGTGAAGATGCTGGTTTGCACCCCAACATCCAAGTGTCTGATAGAAAATCCAGAACATACTTCCTCTGAGAAAGAACAACACCTCTGCTACTACGGACAACCTCAATCCCAAGAAAATATCGCAACAATCTAAGGTCTTTCACATCGAAGGCCTTCCCAAGGTCTACCTTGACCTATACAATCCTAGAAATATCATTCCAGTAATAATAATATCATCCACATATATCAAAACGATGACACATTGTCCAGAAGTATACCGTCGAATAAAGTATTAATGATCTGAATGACATCTAGTGAACCCCAAACGTACAACGACACTACTAAACTGAGAGAACCAGGCTCGTGGTGATTGTTTCAGTCCATAAAGAGACTTACGTAGTCGACACACCTTCCTAGCATACTCCCCTTCACTACCACGAAAGTCTGGTGGTACATCTATATAAATAATCTCATTTAGATCACCGTGAAGAAACGCATTCTTCACATCTAACTGATGAAAATGCCAAGAGTACTCCGCAGCCAGAGAAATAATCAACCGAACAATAGTTAATTTTGCCATAGGGGTAAAGGTAGCACCAAAATCACGACCTGGTACCTGAGTAAAGCCTTTTGCCATAGGGCTAACCTTGTGACGATCAATAGTACCATCCGTAAGAAAATTCAGCGTGTAAACCCAATGACAGTTAATAGGTTTTACCCCTGAAGATAAAGAGACCAGATCCCACGTATGATTACACTGAAAAGCGTCCATCTCCGTTTGCATGGCAAGAACTCACTAGGGCTCCCGCATAGCCTTTGAAACAGAGCGAGGAACTGGCGGATTTGATAAGGCTATATTATAAGCTCGAAGTGTAGGAGATAGATCACCATAAGAAACATAAGCAGAGATCGGATATAAAGTCTTGACAGTTTAACCATAACGAACAACTGGATGACGATTACGTTGCGGATATCGACGCCCTAAATCATCATCCTCTATTGACAATGTCTTATCAGGGAAAGTAATTGGCTTAGTACCTGCAATCTCATCAGTACTAACAACAAGTGCATCAATATGCTTAATGAACTGAGAAGTATTACTTGCATCGCTTGAGATAAAGGGGACATCAACAGGGGGATGAGAGTGAGAGGGACGAACATAAACCTGCAAAGGAAGAGAGATTGATGACTCTGTACTGACAGGGACGAGTGGCTCTGGAGAAGGAAAGACTGATGACTCTGTACTAATAGTGACCAGTGGCTCTGGCTCCTATGGTAACGAAAAATCAAAGGGAGTATTATCAACTAGAAGGGCAGACACAGGATTGGAAGAAAAATAAGGAATGTGCTCAAGAAAGGTAACATCTAGACTGTGATACATACGGCGTCTGATAAGATCATAACACCGATATCCCTTAAACTGATGATAATAGCCCACAAAGACACAACGAATCTCTTTATCATCAAGCTTTTGGCGAGTAGGAGACCGATCCTGAATAAAATATGTGCAACCAAAAACACGAGGGGGGACCGAAAAAAGTGTTCGCTCAGGGAATAAGACCTATAAGGGAGCCCTATGTTGAAGTACATAACTCGGTGTACAATTACACCGAAAGGTAAAAGTCAAAACTACAAAATACCAATAAGATTTTGGTACCCCCATACCTCTAAGCATATAACGTACCATTTCTATTAGACTCTTATTTTTTCTTTTAGCAATTCCATTTTGCTCAGGAGTATATGGACAAGTGAGCTGCTGAAGGATATCCTGAGAAGAAAGGTGAGACACTAAGGCATCAAACACATATTCTTTGACATTATCCGAACAAAGAGCACGAACGATGACATCAAATTGTGTCTTAATCATCTGGAGAAACTGAGTGATGACAGGGAGTACATTAGACTTCCTATGCAAAAGGTAGCCCAAGTACAACGGGTATGGTCATCTATAAATGTTACACAGTATCGAGTATCTGACAGAGCAGTAACATGAGAGGGTCCCCAAATATCAGACTGTATTAGGTCAAATGGCTTGGGTGACTGGTGCATGCGAGGAATATAATTGGTTCGAATATGTTTTGATAGAGAACATGTAACACATTCAAGTTTACCACCAACACAAGTATTGCTCAAAGCAAGAAATAACATACATAAATATTTAAACTTTGTATGCCTAAAATGGTCATGTCACAACTGAACAGTTTGTGATGAAAAATCATAACAACAAGTATTAGGCAAAATATTAGCATGTAAGTTAGGAATAGATAAAGACAACAGGTGCAGATGATGGAGGTGGAGGAACTGGTGAAATTGGAGGTGGATCGCCTAGATAATACAATCCATTTCTCTCATATCTCCTGATAATAATCCTCCTGATACTCAGGTCTTGCAAATAACATGAATCAGATAAAAACAAAACTGCACAGTGAAAATCTCTGGCTAACTGACGTACGGATAATAGATTCATGGCCAGTTTTGGCGCATAAAAAAATGAATGTAATGTAAAACTATCTGGGAGGCGTATTGTACCCCTACTAACAATAGGGGCATGTATTCTATTTGTTAGCTGAACCTGTGTATGTAATTGTTCGTCAAAAGTGAAGTGATGGGCCTCTCCTGTCATATGACCATTCGTACCCGAGTCTAACATACAAAGAGGAGACGGACTGGTGCAAGCATGAGAGGCACAAGGTATAGCAGCAATCAGACCCTGAGAAGTCAGGGCGGATATAAGTATATTCAATCGGGAAGTGATAGCATCCATAGCACTCTGCCAAAGAGGAGCAGCAACAGGAGCAGCGGTAGTAAGTGGTGGTATCTCAACAATAGCAGTTGTATGGTTGTGAGGGGGTGGCTTAAGTTCCGGATAGAACTTCTAGCAAGTAGCCCTGAGATGTCCTGATTGGCCACAATAATCACATTGACTAGAACCAGAAGGTACATTCCAGGTGGAAGTACTAACATTAGAGGTCCCAACAGTAGTAGCCATAACAATAACAATACGTGGGCACTCGTGACAGAAAAACAACTCTTAAGATAAATAGATGGATAAAATAAGGGAGAACAATATACCTCCAGTCGAACAGTAGCGACAAATAAAGAAGGTCCAGAAAGTTCCCAAATAATCAGGGTACGGTGCCCAATTATGTTTACTGGTTCGCTGGTTCGGGTTACTGGCTTCCTGGGTTTTGTTCTGGACTGGACTGTTATGCTGGGTTGACTGGGTTTTGGTTGGCCAGGTTTGTCAGTGGGTTTTGATATATGTGGGATGTCGGTGGGTTTTGCTTGTGGGTTTTGTCTGTGCTTGAGTTTGCTGGGTTTGGTTAGGCAGTGGGGTGACTGAGAAGTGGGGTGGCTGAGCAGCGGGTTGCGTGGCTGAGCAGTGGGTTGCGTGGCTGTAGCTTGGGTGTGCTGCTGGTTTGAGTTTTGGTGGTTTTGTGTGGCTGGGCTGGATAATTGTTCTTTGCTGGGTGGTTTCTTTGATGGTGTTGGTGGAGTTAACTGGTCGCTGGTGGCGGCACAGGTGGTTACTGGTTGCTGTGGCTGCTGTCGGTGGGTGTGGCTGGGATTGCCGGGCAGCGGCTGTTGCTGGTTGCTGGTGGCGGCATAGGTTGTTGCTGGGCTGTGGTAACAAGGTATAGGAGGCTAGGGTTAGGGTTAGCAGTAGGGGCTAGGGTTTTGACTCTGATACCAACTAGAGAAATATGTGAGTTAAAAGGGATATAAACTAAGTGTAGATCCCCCGTATATATAACCAATAAAAGTTACAATATGGATAAAAAAGTAAAAAGGAAAAAAACTCTAATAATTCCTAATAACTTAGGCTGCTATAACTCCAACAAATTGAAAAACCTCCACTTTGCCATTTGTTACCGATTATATATGGGGAAGAGTAAGGTAACATGTTGTGACCACGAGATTATATGGAGGTAGTGTGTGCTGTAAAGTGTGGCCAATATTAGGATGCCCAGTAAAGGAAATTAATTTTTGTGGAAATATATGTCCTTTGTGCACTATCAGGTCATGTGAAACATAATAGTAGTGTTGGAAAAAGAAAAACTATACAGTGATATAATGCCATCAAAACTTTTTGAGCTGCTGAATATTGACTATCCTGCAATTTACAGGTTTTATATTGATAAATTATTCCAAGTCATTGAGTCAACTACCAGATTGTCCTTTGATTTTTCCGAAGTTAAAAATATAAGATGTCCCATCTCCCCTCTCCCTTTTCCTTCGCTCATGCACTTCATGAAACCCATTTTTTCATGTAGAAGAACTTGAAACTCTTCTCAGGCAAACAACTCCAGCCTCTTGAAAGATTAGGCATTATAGTTGTGCTTTCATGTTGACTTCATTCTAAGTTTCCTAGCGTGACGAACGATTTCTTGCAGACTGGGACCACTATTACTGATCAAATGGATCTTCTTTGCGAGCAAGTGAAAATGTTAGCTGGAGAAGTAGCACTCAGTACGAGTTCTCTAAAAAGAATTTCAGAGCAAGCAGCTAGCAACCCTGAAGACTCACGTCTTCAGGTTAGCTTAGTCTACAAAATTCTTCATCCTAACAGATTGTAACTTTTTTGGGGCACAAGAATGTGAAATCTTAAGTGATAACTGTGGTTTCCCTTTTGATATAGGACCAAATGCAGAAATTGAAGGACGAGATCACAGAAAAAAAGCATCAGATGCGTGTCCTAGAGCAACGTATGATTGGATCAGTGGAGATAACTCCACAAACATCAAATAGCATTGAGATGTCTCAGGTAATCTTAGCAAACTGAGATGGATATAGTTATAACTGATATTTTAGACGAAGCTCAAAAACTGGTTAGTGAACCTATATATGTAAAGAGAGCTTGTATCCTACATTGAATGATTAGGACCACCCAAGATTGATTTATATGCTTAAGGGGCCTGTCTCCTCATTGCCAATTGGTTTTGGGTTGGATGCTCTAAGATGGTATTATAGCTGGGCTTTGGGTGGCCATTGGGCCAAGTCCCTTACCCATTTGAATTTTTCCGGTATGTATGTCATAGGGTGAAAAATACAGACAATAAATATTAATATTACTCATGCTTATCATCTATACTTATCCAGACTAGATTGTGATAGATCTCTTTGGATTCTATCGCTATTTCTATCAGTCTATTTGTTTGTTAGCTCCCATGCGAGCTTGGTTATCACGCTTGAGGGTGTAAAGAAAACTCATATCCCACATTAAATGATTAAAACCACTCAACATTAGTTTATATGCTTAGAGGGCTTCTTCATGGATTGCCAATTAGTTTTGAGTTGGATGCTCTAACAATATATAACTAATAAAGACAAGAAGCTAATTATTTTTATAGACCATATAGATCTCTCAGTAAATGTTTATGCACACTGGAGTGAGCATATAAGCAAGAAGACCTGCAATTGGTGAAGTAGCAGTCATAAAGGCAGAGCCTCAATCTCTTTTGGTTATTATTGGGACGGTTATTTTAAGCTTATATTAATTAATTTTCAAAGATCTAAATGCAGGAAAAACCAATCATCACCAAAGTAACAAAAACGTCATATAGAGGGGAGATAGCGCAAAAAGGGATTTTATTCCGACTCTTTTGGATATTTATATGAGTTCATATTTAAATTCTTTTGTTGTTTGCATTCCTCTTTATATTGTCATATCATATATGCAGTCTTCTTATTTTCATTGATTATATATATAACTATGTGCGCATAATAAATAGCTGATGTTCTCACTCCTTGCCTTTGTGGTGTTTACTGTTGATACTTTTGCATTTTGGAGGAACTCTTAAATCCCCCTCTTAAAGGAAATCATTCTTGAAGAATTTAGAGCTAAATATCTTTTAAAGTGGACCATGATTAAAAGGCTAGTCTATTAAACATGACCTAGGGCTCCTGTATATCGTATGTCGCCCAACAACCTCCTCATCCTCCTGTGACTTCCAAAACTGTCATCTCTTTTCCTCAAATTGGTTGGCTACTGGAAGACTACTGCATGTTTTTTGCCTTTAATGAGCCAAAGGACCTTACATTTTGGCATCCAACTAATCTGTACTGGTCTAGTCAGTCTTTTGAGTTTGGTGATCTTCTCTAACTTCCTGGAATCTCTATCTAAAATATGCTTTGCAATCGAACTTTTAGATTTAGTTAAAGAGGTATCTAATAAATACTTATATTTCTCTGCGAACTTCCCTCTTTTAAATTTGTTTTCTTTCTGAAATTATATCTTCTTTTGATTTTAAAATAAGCCTCCATGTTCCACTTATTGGCACTTCTTGTAACATCCTATCCGCATAATTGGCGTAATAGTTGTTGCTAACTGGTTATATTGACGTAACTTCGTGACAATAGAGAATCAGCCTTGGAAAAGCTGTGTACTGCATCTGGTAGCATTTAGAATTGAAATATCTCCAAATTTGATCAGATCTTAATATTTCAAACCAAATCACCTAGGTTTGAAATATTCATTCTAGTTTAGTGGGAACACAACTACATAACTGTCAGGGGACCCTGAGCACTGCTTTTTTTTGACCGCCATTATGCTTGCCTTTTTCTTCTTATCAGAATGATAATAACATGTAGTGTTGACCAGTACATCATGAATATATAGACTCTTCTGCAAGATGTAAGTTCTTAAGTAATATGAAAGTCTGGGTTTTGTTTGTTACTAATTATCATATTTGTTGGATTGTTTTGGGCTCATCAACTACATTAGTTTCTTCAGAGAGATTGAAGGTTGAAATCCATTACCTCCTGTTTTTCTTCTTCCCCTTTCTATTTTCTCTTTCTTTTTTTTTTTTCCTGGTTTTCTAACTTTGAGGTTCTTCAAGATTAGCAAACTCAAAAAATGTGGATAGATTAATGTATAATTTTACCGTTTTGGGTGTCAACAGCAATGAGAAGGAGCAAATTGGCTTTACTGTATGGAAGCCTTATCCTAGTTCTATAAATTAGCATGTTAAATGAGCTCGTTATAGCTCTGTTTTGCAAGTCTTATAATTGAGTTTGGTCAAGTATTGATGGTATTGTTGGAATCCAAACCCAGCTATTTGTGAACAGCTTGGCTTCGGCTCCTTTGTGGCTCATTCAAGCTTGTGTATAGAGTCACCAGCCAACTTTAAGATCAAGACTGGTACGCAGGCTCTACAGTCAAATGAGCCGAGCAGGAGCAGGTCCAAGCTCGGCTTTGTCCAGCTTGTGAACATGGTGTAATTGCATGTTTCATGATTTTTGTTATAATACATGCTTACGTGTTACAAATTGAATGTCGCACACAATTTAGATGGACCACTATCTTGTCTGTATGTTTTGTACTTGTTAAAGTGTGTCTTTGCAGACTTATATTGACTTTTGAAACTTAGAGTTGAATCTTTAATGAAGAAACCATGAATAATGGGTAAATGAGCTCGTAGACATGAGGATGTCTCAGATTACATTTGTTCCAAGGAATCTCATGAACGCGAGCCCAATGAGCAACTGCTAGCCGAGTTTGAACATAGGTATTTTTCCGTGTCTCAAGCTTGAGCTCTCCTTAAAAATCAGCCAGTATGAGCTCGAGTTGGTTCTTGGTTCAGCTCTGTTCTTTTGCAGCTCAAGTTGTAGGCTTGGTTGATGTCATCAACATTTATAGAGAACCAAGCTAATTAGGCTGACTCGCTGTCCTAGTTTGGGAATTGAAACATAAGGATTTGCATAAAGTTGGAGAGGCTTACTTCAGCATAACTTTTATCTACTCCATCTTCATGTCTCTCATCTTTGTACCCTGATTGTTTTTCTTAGTACTAAATTTCACCTGCTTTATATACATTTATCTAGGCTCTCTCCAAGCTTGCCACCCAACTTAATCAAAAAACTTTTGAGCTTGAGGTATGGCCAGTTCTGTTCACCTTTCATCGAGAGGATTTTTTTTTTTTTTTGAAAAATATCAATGGTGAATATGTGTATTAACTTGATCATGTCATGCCCTGGTGAGCAAGATTAAATCAGCAGACAATAGGATACTGCAGGAGCAACTACAAATGAAGGTAAAACTCAACAATTCATCATCTCTTTTCAATTTGTACAGGGTAAATAGCTTTTTACTCCTTGTGTTTAAAGCCAATGGCACTTTACGACCATCTATTTTTAAAACCTAAACTTCATCCCCTTAAGGTTCAGAAATAAAGTGCAAAACCAACAGAGCTAATAATCAATCATAAATAGACTATAAATCCTTTAGCATTCTTAATTTTTTAGTGCTTTTCCTCCCTAGTAAATTTACCAAATGTACTTAGAAGAGAGAGGAAGAGATAGTTTCATTATCGAGAGAAAAAAGGAGATATATATTTATGGGTGTAAAAGTCATTTTGACATGTCATTTCAGTGAAATTTTTTGCTTTTGACCTGTGATACTTGAAGTTAATGTAAATTCTGATAGTGAAACTTTAGTCCAAAACCATAAGGAGGTGAAGTGAATGTTTTCGAACTATAGAAGGGTAAAATGTCATTGGCTTATACCACAAGGGGGTAGAAAAATAATTTACTAATATGTATGTTATTTTCTGACTGAGTTTTGTTATTGTTCTAAGATATCAGACAATGCTGAGATGCAAGAAACCATTCTTCTATTAAGGCAACAACTCGATTCTTTAGTATCCGATAAAAATGCAAGGGATCCAAAACAATATGCGGACAATGAAGTTATCGCATTAAGGACTTGCTCTACGCAATCTTTGGGTATGAAAAATGAAAGGATGGATGGGGTTAATCCATATAGAGAAGTGTCTCTTGATGAACATACACCAACTAGCGTTATGAGCTTGAATAGAATATTCTCCCCAGAGGAATCTAAAGAATCCAGTAGTGATGCCTTTTGGAATTCCCAGCTTCTTATGCAGGTTATTTTTTTTTAGCCTCAGTATTTTGGGTCTTTCTAACATCAATACATATGATGGTATTGTTCTCTTAAGCATCATCTTGTCATCAATATGAATCGAAGTGAAACATTCATTTTAGTTAAATGAAGTTAAAGTTTGTTTATGTTTTGCTCCTCTTGACTTAGGCCACTGAGATAGAGATATTAAAGCAAGAGAAGGTGAAACTGGCTGAAGAGAAGGACGGGCTTGAAATTCACAACCAAAAACTGGCTGAGGAAGCTTTATATGCAAAAGAGTTGGCTGCGGCTGCAGCAGTTGAGCTCCGGAACTTGGCTGAAGAAGTAACAAAGCTTTCCTACCAAAACACCAAACTGACTGCTGACTTGGATGCTGTAAAAGAGGCTTGTTGTAAAACTAACTGCTGCCAAAGGTCCATTTCATTTGAGCTGAATCATAATGGACATCATGGGTCTCGACCTGATGCACATTTGAGAAAACCAGCGGATGGTGTGTTGATAGAGGAATTGGAGCAAGAGCTTAACGGAATATACCAAAGAGAAGCTTCTTTGGTTGCTGCATTGACTGAGAGAGATCAGGTTGCAGGTGAGCTACGAAAAAGAATTGATGAAGCAAAGCAACGCGAAGAAGATTTGGAAAACGAGCTTGCAAATATGTGGGTATTAGTTGCGAAGTTGCAGAAATCTGTTCCTAATTCTGAGGACGCCTTGTCTGAAGGGGTTCATGCTTCTAACATTTTGCAAACAAGAGTTAAAAATGGATTTTCTTCATCTAATGGATACCTGAATAAAATAATTAGTAATGATGAGATCATTGACAACATGGATGAGGCAAGTACATTGGAAGAATTAAAAGAGCTGTTTCATAAAGAAAAGAAAAGGTGCGAAGAACTGGAGAGTTTCATTTCGAGATTAAAGGTATGCTCTTTCCAGGACAGTCTTTTCCAGCAAGTTGAGCCTGATCGTTGCATTTTCGATTTTTTTACATTGAATATAATGCAATCCTGTCTTATAGGTTGACAATCTGTTAGATATTTGTCAATTGTTTCATTGGTCTGCTAATTTGTGTCCCATGGTGTGACCTGAAATTCATAGAATATTGGGTGTACACATTTGCACAGTTCTTGAGTTGTGCTCGAGTTATTCCAACAACTACAACAATTTTTGTGGGTTTAGATCTAGTCTTTTGTGCTGAATCAGACCCACTAGTATTGGATTTTAAGCTAGCCAACATGAATAATTTGTGGTGTTCGTGTGGACATCATACTAAATACTCGTGTTTGAGGTTATTATTACCTATTTTGTTAAATTGGCTAATTTTGTGACATGTTGTGCATCTGTTTCACGTGTTCATATGTGGATGTTGGATGCATCCATGCCAATGCAGTGGCCATTGCTTGATTAACTACGGTTTTAGAACCCATACTTAATTTTATATACTTTGCCTAGTTAAATTGGTCAAGTTGGAGAGAAGATGCCACTGCGTCTTTCCTGTATACGGTGATATATATATTGGAGAACACAACTGACTGCATGCGTTCTTGTTGGAAGCCACGACTAAGGCTGTGGACTTCAGACCAGTTAACAATTTCTTTGGGTATAAGAAAAACATGAACACAGTTCTAGGTATGGTGTTATATGCAAAATTTGATAATTTACTTCACTAGCAAGTTACTACAAAGTTGAAGCATGTGATTATTGTGGGTAATGTTCTTGCAATTATGGCGAGTTGCATGCCGCAGTAGTGTCACTGAGCTCCTGGCCACACTGTTTGTAGGAGGGAGCACTCTAGGTTCCTTTGTTTATGTTACTGAAGTTCTTACCGATATTTAGTTTATCTAGATCTGGTGGCTTCGATTGACTTTTGTTTTGGGTTTTGATTCTATAATCAGTTTTGTAGATCGTATTTCTATGTTCATAACAGCTTTAGAGTTAGCTTTAGTAGTTTGTGATCATGTCCGTCTTGCATTTTTATTTCTCTATTTTCCTCCATCTATTATAATTATCTTCATTCACTCAGTTTTGATAAAATACTTGAAGTCCCTTAATACTGCAGAAGATTTTCGATTCTCCTATTTCAACTTACATTTATTCACTGTAAAAAGAATTTAACTAAGAATTAAACCATTAACATAGCATTGAACATCTCAATATGCTCTTCAGTTTAGTCACAAATCCCATAAATCAAATTTCCAAATCCAATGGCTATGGATGTTTCTACCTGTTTTGAGCCTATTATCTATGTGCTTAATCTTCCGAAGCTGTGCTTCATGCATTTGACTATTTCACATGTTATGAACATTTCCATGTCTCGAACTGTCCTTGTCCATTTAAAGCCTCATATTGTTGCCTGTGAATCACCAAGAGATGTATGTTTTATCATAATCCTCAATTACAATGAACTCTGTGAGCAGGAAACAAGCACATCAATAAAAATTACGAGCAAGCTTTTCCTTCATTTCAGGGTGATGATATTGCTGGCTTGGATATCACTACTCTTGAAGAGTTGCAAAGCCTTCACGTTGAGGCCATAACAAAGATTTGCTATGCAAAGGTGACTGACACACACACGCATTTCTCTGATGACGGAAGTTACTTCCTTTGTTGATTATTCTTTGATACGAATGAAGCTTTTTTAATGCCATGCATTTCTCATTCTCACGAATGAGAGTCTGAGTGGCAGCTAATGCAGTTATCTATGAGGGTGCATAATGTGTGTGTATATATTAGGGATCGTGTACGTACAGTACCCAGATAGACAAAAAGAAAGACGTAGAAGAGGGAAGAGATTGAAGTGAATAAATCCCAATGGTTAAATATCATTGGATAGAAAATTTAAGTGCTTAAATAAGATTAAAGAGAAAATTATAGGTGGTTGTAAGTGGTCATTTAGAAATATGTATAAATGATAAAAGAAATATCGATTGAGAAGACAGTTAAATATAATGGAAGAGGAAGTTATGGGTGGACATCACAATCCACCTTTCCCTTAATAATATACTATAGGTTTGTGCACATATGGTGCTCGTGTGTAGGTATATAACAAGAAAAAAAAAGTGAGAAGAGATCGGCCTATTACGATTTTGCTCTTGTTGACAAAATTGGATATTCCAACCAAATTTGAATTACCTATCATTACTACTTGAAATAAACTTAAGGGTGATTGTTGATTTATGTGGACATTGACTTATTTTGGCTCGTTTACAATATGCAGTGCTCAAATCATGTCTTATAACATTCTTTGTTGGGTTTTTGACATTTTAGGTAAGTAAATACCCATGGTTTCTTCAATTATCAGACCATCTTGTATAACATATAGTTGGTATATACCAAATGACTTCTAAATGTAATTCCTTCTAATGTTTTCCATATGTTTGTGCATGTCGCAGGGATTATGCAGGTGCAATGTATTTATGTACATTCAAGCAAATCTTAACCACAGCCATTCCGAGTTAATCTTTGCACAAAACTAAATTGCCTATTATCGTTGACATCCACCTGGATCACTAACGTTCAACAGAGCCACAGATCAAAAAACATTGTCACATTGAGTTTCAGCTGTAACAAACTTATGTATTGCCTATTCTCCTACTTAAATCGTACCGATGTACATTTTCTACTGTTTATATATTCTAGAGCAGGAGAACAAAGACCTTGTAAAATTCCTACAAGTGAACAGTTATATGAGAGCTACTTTCGCCTGAAGTCCCATTGCGCTATTTGCGGGCCAGCTTATTTACTCCTCACAGATCCAAAATTTGCAGTGGAATGTCCTAAAATACCCAAATTATCTGCATACGGTTGAGAGAAACCTTCATCACATGTCTGGTCCAAGCTGTTTATAAACAAGAAAAAATACAGGTGAGAATGCCCTCAATATAATTCTGTGCAAAATCAAGATATAACGAGAGAATAGAATAGGTCAGAACTTAGGGAGCCTGTCGCAGTTTGCAGTAACCCATCCAATCCATTGATTCTCGTTGTCATAAATCACCATTTTATCTTGCATAGAAATGTCTGTCAATACCAAGTAAACAAGATAATTAGCATATCTAAGAACTAATGAAGAATGTTACAAAGAACTTTCCCTTGTAATAATTAGTCACCTCGGAGTCTTATACCTCCGATTATGTTGACATTTCCGAGGCCAACTTCAGTGCCATTCAAGATGCCCAAGCACACATTGCCGTGTTCCTGAAAGAAGAACACACGTGAAGTGTGTTTTGTCTGTCTCTGGATCCTCTAACAGCAGGGGAAAAAATAGGCAAGCAAGGTGCTCACCGTCACAATGAGATATGCTTTGGGTTGCAATTGGAACTGAACATTCTTGTCATTCATAAAGAACAGTTCTATCGGCCTGAAGTAATTCTTGACATCTCGAATGGATTTGAAAGGTTTCCTGCCTTTCCAGCATAGTGGGAGGCTTCTATCTTCAGCTGTCTCCTTTAACTGCTTGCCATTTAAATCCTTCATTATCTGGAAAAAAAATTAATGGTTAGTTCCTACATGCAAACAGGTAATTCTTGAAAAATGGTCTAGTTTTTATCTCACCAAAGAAACTAGAGCTTTGTAAGCTTGCAAATTGAAGTAACTGTAGGTACTTCCAGTGTCGAATACTATTTTGAGACCCTTAACTCCGGTAGTCCGCCCGTCAAAAAGTAGTTCTGCTGGTCCCAAAGAATGTTGTTCTCTGCAATAATAAGGAAAGTTTACGGTAAACTTGGTAAGATTTATATTTTCATGTAGGAAACAGGTTAAAAATCGGATGAAATATAACTTCACAGTGCTTACTCTGGTGGATTGTGCAACATAGGTGTCCAGATGATCCCTGAACCTGAAGAAGGGACAAGATCATCTCCAAAGAAAAGAAACCCCCCTCCTTGCACACTTAAACAATGACCCACCACATTTTGTGTCAGTCCAAGGTTTTGCAATTGTGATACAATGCTTGATTTGCCACTGCCAAGGCCAAGGACTCCATCTGTGAAAGGTGGACGAATTGTATCTGGAAATTCTTGATTGTAACCGCATCTGCATAAAAGATGATAAAAAACATGACACATTTAGTCAAAGACAAAGGGGATTGTGAAAGCAGGGGCATATACTCAGAAAAATCTCTACACTTGCAAGAGCCCGCAACACAAATTTGTTATGCTCTTAGATACCCTTTTTGTGAGTGTGTATGAGATTTTTTGTTTTTTTTTTTGAGGGGAGAGGGTATAGAAAAAACACATATGAAACATTCCCTTTTGTTAACTCGAGCTAGCTAAAATAAAAAATAAATGGAAAAACTAATTAGGCCAAGAGTGAAAGGCAAGCAACCAACCCGAATGTTAGGCGGGGACCAACAGTACTACCATTGATGAATCTTAAAGGAAATGAGTCTTTGACCAAGACACCCAAAGATGAACCATGATCAGCATACTGGACCTCGTAGTCACATTGCTCGTCAGGGGTTTCGCAAGGGTGACTACCAGACCAGTTAAGAGAACCACAGAGGGGATCCTTACATGTGACAACGTTCTTGTTTGGCTTGTAAAGAGTGTGAGGGGTCTGCACACACAAACACACAGAGGTTATGGACTATGGGCAGTAGTTTTAGGGTGATTTTGCATGTATGGAAAAAAAATGAAGAATTGACAATTACCGGAGTGCATTTGGTACAAGGTGCATCACACTGAAGCCAGGTGAGGTCACTGCCAGTGTCCATATCAAGAAAGTAAGGTTTGGATGGGTGGCCTATGTTAAGTGTCACTTGATAGTACCTGCATAATGAAAGAACATTGAACAACCAACTTTATGACACAGGACACAAAATGGATTCCGCTCAAATACCATGAATTTTGGTCATAACTGAAAAGGGAAGGAACAGAAATAAAATTTGGAGATATTATAGGAAAAAGAAAATGTAAATGGTACTAAAGATATTTATTATAGCAGTTAGAGCCCAAGTAGCAATTGACATACTGATGCAGAATGCCAAAAAAGCTGCGGGAAGATGTACAAAAGAGAGCAAATGATGATACATTAAAAGGCAGGATGGGCAACTGCCCTCTAAGGTTTGAAAATTCCCTTACAATTACATTCCATTTGCTAAAGAACTACAATTGTAAATCTTACAGTTGTCCCAATTTTTTTCACTTCACAACTGTTGTCTATAGGGTTTTCCTCCCTATACCTCATTTCCTGATCGATTCTAAGAAATGGGTCGCAAGAAAATACTCTATTTGTTCTAAAAGGTAAGAGAACTTCAGGGCACAACTGGATCTATGAGAAACTTTTCAAGGAAAAAAGGATTTACTGAATGAGCAATGGTATGCTTCTCAAAACATATCCCAAATGCTTCTGCACCACACATATTATCTCGTGGGGCCCAAAAAATTAGCCTTTTCATCTAATGTATGGTGCAAAGCATTTGGGAAGCATAGCATTTCTCTTACTGAGCAATAGCTAGGAGGAATCAAGGTAATACGTATCTCAAATGCTTCTACACACGAACACACACCAACCCCCCAAAAAAAAACAGAGAGAGAGAGGGAGACTCACAAAATAATAGTTGGAAAAAAGGTGATCAGAGAATTAGAATGTATGGTTTGAGGAAAAAAAGAAATATTAAGTAGACCATTTATACAGAAAATTTCAAAAGAAACAAAAAAGGTTATGAAAATTCCCCAGGAATAACTAGTAATCAAGGTCACATGAAAAAGGGAAGAAGCCTCCCATAAATAAATTTCAGGTAATTAAAGGAAAGTCGACATAATCCAATAACATACCAAGAATCTTCCCAGTAAACAAACAGAAAATTCATAAAAACCCAAAATCTCCCAAGAAACCCACAATCGAACAGAGCACGCAAACCCCATAACCATAGGCTAATCAAACACCAAAACAATGCATGTATACAAATATACCCACAGATAAGAGAAAACCCATCAAGACCACATCTAAAGAAAACCCACAAATAAAATGACATATACCCTTTAGGATAGACATTCCCAGTGACAGGGAAGACCATAGAGGATCCAAATCGATCCTCGGTGGCCGTTGATTTGGATTGTTTCTTGATCCTCTGAGGCGGATTGGAAGCTGAGGAACAGCTTTGCAGTGTCGCACACAACACCAAAGGGTATAGTACCACCCAGAATGGTACAGTTAACTTCAACTTTTCACGCATGGTGACGGAATATTTTGTGTTGTTTCGTTTCGATCAGAAGCAAAAAGGGGTCAAAAAAGGCAAAGGTGCTCTAAGCGGCAAAAAACACAATTTAGTTGGATTTGTAAACGTCTACAAGTCCACTGGATTGTCTGAATATAGTTTCTAGTAGTACATACGTGGCAGACTCCTTGTGTGCACAAGTGAATCGTAGACGGAGAGGGAGAGGGAGAGGGAGAGGGAGAGAGAAAAGAGGAGAGAGGGGTTTATTAAGGTTCTTGGAAGTTTCCTAGCCCCAACGCGGAATGCATGTTATATTACCACATGATGGGATGTGGAAAAGTTACTTATTTACNGGAGAGAGAAAAGAGGAGAGAGGGGTTTATTAAGGTTCTTGGAAGTTTCCTAGCCCCAGGTTACGCGGAATGCATGTTATATTACCACATGATGGGATGTGGAAAAGTTACTTATTTACTCTTTTGGGAGAAAATATATTGCATTAACTGTAATATCATGTTATTATTGTTATTATATAATATTAAAATAATTAGTTATTATTAGTATTTAAAGACATTGTATAACAAAAAAAATTAACATTAGCAAGAAAAAAAAAATGGTGCACATAATGAAAATAATAAATATTTAAAGTCGTTGAATATATAAAAAAAATGGACAAAATTATCTCTAAAAATATAACTTAAAAAATTTGAATATATACACAATTTATATATTTTATCATCATACCTTAAAATGCTATTACTAATTTGTCCATACTTGAAGGTACATGGTAGCCAAAAAAAAATAAATTATTAATTATAAGGTATTTATAATATAAAGCAACGTAAATTTCAATAAACTTATTTGACGTTCTTAAATAAACTAATTCAATAGCCACCAACATCTTTCTTAAATTTTTATTGTGTCTTGAGACACGAGTTACCCCTAATATCAAATAAAATAACACTTTCTGACATCGAGGGATATGACTTTCATTACACCAAACTTTCAATTTCAACATTCAACCACAAATTCAGCATCACTGCTATCAAGAACATATTACATGCAGTTACGACCAGACAGTGAATCTCAGATCAAAATAATTAGTATAACAAACAAAATTTAGATAAATCAATTGCTATCTTAGAATTTTCTTTGAAAACATGATTCAACTGACAATATCAATATGTGTATACAACTCATAATTAAATAATTATGTAAATAAAAACTATCTTATATCAATAATTTCATCAGTAGGAGGTCTTGAGTTTAACTCTCAACGAGAGCACATTACACTATTTTCGGGAGGTCTTAAGTTCAACTCTCAATGAGAGCATTCACTTGGAGATGATGATCTCACCAGGTTCATTTTACACTTAGACCTATTAAAATATCAATAATCTCAAATTTATTAAAATATCAATAAATTTGGATAAATTTAGACTGCAAAAAATAAAAATTATTTTTTTATCTGTTGAGATTCAAATTCTCTTATACTTTATTATACTAGTTAGTGTGCACGTGTATTGCACGTGAACCATAATGAGTTATAGTAACCTCACTAGAAGAATCAAATAAGCATGACTACATCTTATAATTCTATTAAAGGTAATATATGATTGTATTATTTAGATCTTTTACTTTTTTTTTTTAAATCATGTACATACATGAGTAACTACAAAGCTACTAAAATTGATTTCTTACTATGATTTTATTGAAGTTTGTTTTCTTAGTAAGACTCGGTAATCCGATGAATTTGAGTATCCCATATTGAATATGAGTGACTAAATAATAGGCATAAGCGCTAGGGATCTTGCGGCAACTCATTTAAAAGTTGTTCAACTTCTAACATATTAATAATGTATAACTGATACATTTATTATTGTACATTTCGTATATGTGTGTTAGATGTTTGTGAACAAACCAGAACATGAAAAATTGGTGGTTTATATCCAATGACTAAATGTTAGATTTATTTCCTAGAGTTGGTACCATGTAAGAGTTATATATCAATAATAGTTAGTGAATGAACAATAATATTGACTGTATAATTTAAAACTAGTGTAGAATAGTAGTTTAATAGTCACAATTACAAATAATATAACATTAATATTGTTATTTCAACTCAAAAAGTGTATTATGGGTTTTAATTATTTTATTAAGGTTATTACGGTCAATCAAATTNGTATATGTGTGTTAGATGTTTGTGAACAAACCAGAACATGAAAAATTAGTGGTTTATAAAAAGTGTATTATGGGTTTTAATTATTTTATTAAGGTTATTACGGTCAATCAAATTTTTTTTTATTTTTATTGACATTTTATCACAATATAGATATAAATATACAAGTAAACAATTATATCTCACATAATTTAGTAATCACTCCTTTCATATAATATAATAATTACTCAATAAGTCTTTGGTCTAATAGTACTTTTATTTTGTGAAAAATTTGTCTTCTTGTGATCAAGGATTCAAACCACCTTCCCCTCCCCCTCAAAAAAAAAAAAAATGAATGAATGTGAGGTTCGTTGCAGACCTTAGTTATATCTATTGAATAATGATATTATATTTATCTTCTCAACTTTAGTATAGCTGAAGGAGGAATGTGTCATTAGAAAAGATTAGATCTTTAAATGTTTCGAGCAAATTTCAAGTTCTAATCTCTTTTTATAAAGAGTAATGCTGTGGAGAATTAAATTGAGAACGTAATCATGACTTAATTCAAGACAATTATCAAATTTAATTGTAAGTTTCAATATTAGATGGAGCCCACTCTCAATCTAATGGTTTTATTCAGTTAAATCTCTAAATTATGTCTAAATAATATTTTTCTTTTATAAATGAGTCAAATCAAAATAAAGTATAACTTTTGACGGTTTGAATAATTNTATTTTTATTTTTAGTGACATTTTATCACAATATAGATATAAATATACAAGTAAGCAATTATATCTCACATAATTTAGTAATCACTCCTTTCATATAATATAATAATTACTCAATAAGTCTTTGGTCTAATAGTACTCTTTATCTTGTGAAGAATTTGTCTTCTTGTGATCAAGAATTCAAACCACCTTCCCCTCCCCCTCAAAAAAAAAAAAAAAAAGAATGAATGAATGTGAGGTTCGTTGCAGACCTTAGTTATATCTAATGAATAATGATATTATATTTATCTTCTCAACTTTAGTATAGCTGAAGGAGGAATGTGTCATTAGAAAAGATTAGATCTTTAAATGTTTCGAGCAAATTTCAAGTTCTAATCTCTTTTTATAAAGAGTAATGCTGTGGAGAATTAAATTGAGAACGTAATCATGACTTAATTCAAGACAATTATCAAATTTAATTGTAAGTTTCAATATTAGATGGAGCCCACTCTCAATCTAATGGTTTTATTCAGTTAAATCTCTAAATTATGTCTAAATAATATTTTTCTTTTATAAATGAGTCAAATCAAAATAAAGTATAACTTTTGACGGTTTGAATAATTAGTTTTTATGTAAATAGGACCAATAATTCCTTTTCAAAAGATAAACAACTCAAAGTATTTTACTTTATGCTAAAATAAAAATACTTCCATTCTTCTTCAAGAAAATTCTTTCATTCTAGTATCTAAATTTATAGTTTTGATTATATATATATATATATTTTTGGATTTTCTTTTGCAAAAATTGATTACTTTAAGAGTGAATATCAAATCATAGGATTTAATTTTTGAANATATTTTTTTGGATTTTCTTTTGCAAAAATTGATTACTTTAAGAGTGAATATCAAATCATAGGATTTAATTTTTGAAAAATTTTGTTAAGAAGTTAAATTCAATTTTGACAACAATGCTCACAAGTTTATGCCAATCCAAGCTTAAGCAATCTAAACTCGACAATCAGGGCTCGGCCAACATAACCAAGTTAAATATGATCATACTCAAGTTCAACAAGTTTGATTTGATTCGAATAACAACTCTAGAAGAGATCAGGTGATGCCTAAGAAGGAGAGATGCACCTTAAAATCTATTGTTTGTATTTTTTCTTATTTTTATTGATAATTAAAGAGTCTAACTATTTGTGTGCATTAGCAGATTCAATTGATTCAAAAACACCAACTTAAGTTTTTGAAATTCAATCAATAGATGTAATCTTCTTTCCCATAAAATGGAAGAGGAGCCAAACCTGTCTTTTTTGCAATATGTTTTGAACTATGCCTTTTTTTTTTTTAGGCCTCCCTCGAGCTCAGATACTTGTTACCATAGCCCAAACAGATTTAGAACATATCCCTTAAGGAACAAGGGTGACTGGCCCTTAGGGATTATGCGAAGTGTTAAACTTGAGACTTGTAAGTTATCAAAAGCTACCTTATCCATTGAACCACGCTTCAGAGTTGTTTTGAACTATGCCTTATTACTGAATGTATTCCTAACATTCTTATTAATTATGAAGCTAATTTGCAAAACCAACAAACAAGAAGTTCTTTTCGTACTTCAATTTCAATTTGTAGCAAGAATCCACATGGCCATGCTTGAATATTGGATTTCCATATGCAGTCTATTTCTGCCACAATCTTCAATTTTCTGAAAATACAACCACTTCCTCTCAGTTTTTATAGTTTAATGGATCTAATCGAGATGACAAGTTTACATATTTATCCTTGACAAGTATATACATGCAGGTCATCCACCCCCCTCCACCAGTTAACCACTGCCGCTTCCACTTCCACTTCCACCTCCACCTCCACCTCCACCATCTCCACCTGCACCGCATGGTTTTGTGTGTACTGTTCTGCAGGATCTGCTACAGATTTTGCGTTCCATATGTGAAAAATTTCAAAATATCACAATGTAGTCATGCAAACAGTTAGCACATGATTCACGTTTCATGTCACTTGGCTGTTCTTTAACTCTGAAGTATAATCAATAATCATTGCAACCAATTTATTTAAAAAATAAAAAAATAAAAAAAATTTATTCATGAGGTTTATCTACAGCAACTCTCAGAATCAAGGGAATTGTCATACATGAATTTTGTTACAAGCATAGGTTTGTTTGTTTGTGGATTACATCAATTTTTATTCCTTCTTTTCCCTGTTTCAGCCTTAAGCTCTTATTTGCTAATCAGCATACGGGCCTTCATAAGAAGCATAGCGTGTCTGCACAAGGGTGAGAAACGACATTCTCCAATCACGACTCGGACCCAAAAAAAAAACCAATTAGGGATGCTCTAAGCATGATCATTTAAAAGATAAGGAAAATTACTCAAAANAAATCAGCATACGGGCCTTCATAAGAAGCATAGCGTGTCTGCACAAGGGTGAGAAAATGTGGCTGCACAAGGGTGAGAAACGGCATTCTCCAATCACGACTCGGACCCAAAAAAAACACCAATTAGGGATGCTCTAAGCATGATCATTTAAAAGATAAGGAAAATTACTCAAAACTTGGGAGGCTTTTGACAGTTTGAAGGAGCCCATCCAATCATCCGTCTCTCATTGTCATAGATTATCAATTTGTCTTGAAAAGAAATATCTGTGAATAGCAAAAAGGGTAATAAAATAGTAAGCAAAGCTTAATTAATATTGTATAATGAAATTTCCATTCATCAGGTTTTGTTCTTGTTTTGTTTCTTACCTCCAATTAAGTTCAAATTTCCCAAGTTTGCTTCTGCGCTATTCAAAATTCCCAAGCACACAGTGCCAGGAGACTGAAAAGAAAGAGCTTGTTAATTGTCATCTTTTAAATTTATAACAGCTTTATCCTTTATCCCTAGGTAGAAATCGAAAATAGTTTCAAAGTTGTGCTTACAGTGAGGATGAGATAACCTTCAGGCTGTATTACAAAACGAACATTTTTTGCATTTGTGAAGCTCAATTCCAAGGTACTAAAATATTTCCGAATGTCACCAACAGAACGGAAGGGATGTGCACCTTTCCAGCAAACTGGGAGGTTTCCGTCTGCTACTTTGCTTATTGGTTTTCCCACCAATCCGCTATTCAACTGAAAACACAGACGGAAATTGAGTTTTTGTAAAGACAAGAAGCAATGCTAATATTAGTTTTTGTCAAAACAGAGGATGGTCTTTTATTTTTCTTCATCTCACCCTAGAAAGTGTAGCTTGGTAAGCTTGGGAATTGAGGTAAGTGTAAGTACTCCCACTGTCGAAAACTATGTTAAGACCCTTAGCACCAAGAGTTTTCCCATCAAAGAGAAGGTCAACCGGTCCAGACAAATAGTGGTTCCTGAAACAAAGTGTCATTATAGGAGATCTGCAGAAAGTTGAGTGTTATGGATTAGTGCCTTAGGGGTGTTTACTCACAAGGAATTGGGCAACATCGGTATCCAGGCAGTTCCTGAAGGGATGATATCGTCTCCAATGAAAAGAAATCCTCCCCCTCGTCCACTGAAACAATGCCCAATTACATTCCTTGTTATACCAAGATTGCGCAGCTGTGACACAATGCTTGATTTTCCATTGGCAAGGCCAAGGACTCCATCAACATAAGGAGGAGAAAATGGACCAGAAAATGCTTGATCATATCCACACCTGTAGATGACAAAATCAAAATACATACTAGATAATTCACAAAAGCAGAAGGCACTACATATTGCTTCAAGATCATGCCATTTCAAAATTTTGATTTCTTTTTTCCAAGCACGGCATGGTTAAACAGCCATTTGGGAAGTACTTTCCTCCCTTTTAGGGAAAAAAGAGAAAAATTGCTCAGTTTCTACTTTTAAATTCAGAAAATCTCCAAATCATGTTAACCAAACTGTACTTAAAGAAAACATTCATGGCATACTTTTCAGGCATTTCCTCTCACATCTGATTACGACCAAAACAGAAAAAGAAAGGAACTTGAAATCAAATTTCAAACAATGTCAAATTCAAATAAAGGATAAAGGTCAAGTTACCCACCCAAAGGCCAGAATGGGTTGGGAGACAGAGCCATTTGTGAATTTAAAGGGAACCTTGTCTCTGACCAGCACTCCAAGAGATGAACCATAGTCAGCATATTCAACCTCATAGTCGCATTGATCATTCGGGGACTTGCATGGATAACCGGATGGTTGGTTCACAGATGCGCATAAAGGGTCCTTGCAGAACACAGCATTGTTGTTGGGCTTGTAGGGAGTGTGAGGTGCCTGCACACCAGCACAGAGTTTAAGAGCTGAGGAAAAAGAATGGGAAATAGGAAGGTTTTTTGCTCTCCATTGAAAAAAATGGAAATTTACTTTGAGTAACTTGGCACTAGGTGCAGCTGCACATTGGACCCAAGTGAGATCACTGCCAGTGTCAATATCAAGAAAATAAAGCTTGGGCGGGTTCCCTATGTAAATGGAAGTATAGAAAAATCTGCATAATGAAATAACACACTATTTTAGATCGACAGAAAAGAAATACCATGAGGATTCCATGAAATTCGCTCAAAGAAAAAGAGAAAAAAATTGCACAATGGAATCACATTAAGTGTATTTGGTTAGTGAATTAGCCAAAAAATCACATAAAATAAATGCTAATGAAAAAACCAATGCGGATCATAGGGCAATGGGGGTAAAAATTCAGAGAAGGGGAGGGGATTACCGAAGGAAAATCTACCAGTAAGTCAAATAGAAATAATTTTCACCCTGAAATAACAATGAGAAGCCTAATACAGGCTGTCCAATTGCAAGGCCATGATGTAGAAAACAAGTGAAATTAGAATTGGTTTAATTAGTTTTATTATATCCATGGCCCAAAGTACATAGGATTGAGGAGTCGTAGCTGTTTGATTTGAGTACTTTCTGCCTTCGAAGCATATATCAAGCTTTTATAATCATCCATAAGGTTAGATAGGATTGCAACTGGATGCTAAATTCCTCAAGGAAAAGGTCAAGTTTGGTGCAATCAATCTATTAAATGTGGCAAATCATTTGGACAGTGTCCATTCTCTTTTAAATATGACATGTATAACAACAAAACCATGCTATAATGGGTTTCTATGATTGAAACTGAAACAAATTTAACAACAAAATCATGCTGTAATGTATTTCTGTGAATTAAAACACGACAAATTTTACATCAAACAAATGGATCATGAATTTTATAAGTAATTGCAAAGAATCCAAATTTGAGAAATTGGGTAAGAAAATACCCAAAAAATTCTAAGAACTGAATTGAATGAACTACGCAAAACCCCCAAAATCCATGACAAATCCAATCATTTAACAAACACAAAATCGCAATCACATAGACATATAATCATTTAACAAACACATAAACACATAATAAATAGAGAAAAAAAAATTAATGAAATATGCATTTCCAAACCCTGAAATAAGCCCAAAAGCTTAAACATCACGCACCCATTAGGATAAATATCTCCTTCAACATGAAAAACCAAGGAGGATCCAACTCGTTTAGGCGATTTGGTTTGCATCTTTATGCTGCCACGAAGTTGTTTGGTAGCTGAGAAACAGACCTGAAAGGTTGCTGCGAAAATCAAAACAGACAACACCATTGATAGTGTTTCTCTCTGATTCTCTTTCATCTTTTAATCTTTTTTCTGAGTCGAAATGCCTGAGTTTTGATCGAAATGGGTCTTTCTACACAAAAAATTGAAAAGACTCCACCAAGTCCACCTGAATCGTTTGATCACCTCTGGATCATAAACAAAAAAAAACACGCTTACGTAATCGATCACCTGCTCTTGTATAGATAAATACTTGAAAAGTCTACGTTCAACGCCAGCGAGAGAGAGAGAAGAAGGGGGGGGAGAAAGGCTTTGGAAGCTTCGCTTGCCGCGGGGGCGGGAACTTGTTTGGTCGTTAAAGAACAAATGACACTTTATCCCTAAATTTTTTTTAAAATTTGTTTTTTTCTTTTATAAATAAAAATATTTATATTACACTCTCCACCATGTTTTCAATAGTGTAATTTACTTTTTTTTCTCTATTTTTTTCACAAGTTTGTATCGCCAAATGAGGCAAACAACTATTTCCGACTAAAGAAATTAAAGGTGTAAAATGAAAATTTTGATCTTTAAAAAAAAAAATATTGACATAATTCTATTTGCTGTAGTTAAAAGAGGGATTTGGAAGTTGGTTCCTAGACCCAATAAAATTCTAAAAACAAAATTCACTCTATAATTTTCTTTTAAATTATATCCCTATTAAAAAGTCAAAACAATATACATAATTAACGCCTTTTAGAATTGAAAAAATACCGACAATATTATCACCTAATTTAAACACTTATTTTAAAAAATTATATCATTATAATGTATATTTTTTTCTATAAACACAAATCCTAAGACAGGTATACTAAAAAAAAAATAGGTACGCAAATAAAAATATATATAGATATGCTTTCGAGTCAAAAAATAACAGATGCACAATAAAAAATATANTATTGACATAATTCTATTTGCTGCAGTTAAAAGAGGGATTTGGAAGTTGGTTCCTGGACCCAATAAAATTCTAAAAACAAAATTCACTCTATAATTTTCTTTTAGATTATATTCCTATTAAAAAGTCAAAACAATATACATAATTAACGCCTTTTAGAATTGAAAAAATACTGACAATATTATCAGCTAATCTAAACACTTATTCTAAAAAATTATATCATTATAATGTATATTTTTTTCTATAAACACAAATCCTAAGACAGGTATACTAAAAAAAAAATAGGTACGCAAATAAAAATATATATAGATATGCTTTCGAGTCAAAAAATAACAGGTGCACAATAAAAAATATAAAAAATAACAAGTATATAATAATTGTTAGACAAGTACACTGAAATACAAATCGCTAGATAAATATACTAAAACACAGATCATTAGATGTCATCATAATGTCTAAATTGCTTGGTTTACAAGTTTGAATTTCAAAATGATAGACAATACTATAAAAACCTCAATAAAAAATACAAAAAAAGAAACAAAAATTAACTTCATTTTAGGTTAATATCATGTGATGAGGTCAAAATAGGTAATATAAATTAGTAACTAACTAATCTCTTGACATTCGTGTCAACACGGAAATCACATTCAATTTTTTTTTTAAATCGAAGGATCTTCTTTTATATTAAAAATTTGATAGGATTAAAATTAATATACACACCAAAAGAGGACCTAGCCTAATTTAATATAGTAAAGTCCAAGAAGCCTTCTGATTTGTGGAATTTTATATGACAAAGGTACCATTGGATGCTTAATAAGGGAGCAGTTGATGCAAGGGGACAATAGTCTTTGAACCTTGTGGGCCACCAAAAGAGGTGGGAACATATGACCTTTGAAAATTGAATAATGCTACGTGAATTTAAAAAGTAGAGTTGATAATCTCGATCATTGATTTCATTGTGGGTCTCAGTATTTATTTAGATCTACTATCTATTCAATGATTGAGATTATCAATTCTAATTTTTAAGTTTATGTAACATTACTCTTGAAAATTTACTACAAGGAAATTTTTGTTTATTTGCTTTTCTATNGTGCACAATAAAAAATATAAAAAATAACAAGTATATAATAATTGTTAGACAAGTACACTGAAATACAGATCGCTAGATAAATATACTAAAACACAGATCATTAGATGTCATCATAATGTCTAAATTGCTTGGTTTATAAGTTTGAATTTCAAAATGATAGACAACACTATAAAAACCTCAATAAAAAATACAAAAAAAAAACAAAAATTAACTACATTTTAGGTTAATATCATGTGATGAGGTCAAAATAGGTAATATAAATCAGTAACTAACTAATCCCTTGACATTCGTGTCAACACGGAAATCACATTCAATTTTTTTTTTAAAATCGAAGGATCTTCTTTTATATTAAAAATTTGATAGGATTAAAATTAATATACACACTAAAAGAGGACCTAGCCTAATTTAATATAGTTGAGTCCAAGAAGCCTTCTGATTTGTGGAATTTTATATGACAACGGTACCATTGGATGCTTAATAAGGGAGCAGTTGATGCAAGGGGACAATAGTCTTTGAACCTTGTGGGCCACCTAAAGAGGTGAGAACATATGACCTTTGAAAATTGAGTAATGCTTCGTGAATTTAAAAAGTAGAATTGATAATTTCATCCATTGATTTTACTGTGAGTCTCAGTATTTATTGAGATCAACTATCTATTCAATGATTGAGATTATCAATTCTAATTTTTAAATTTACGTAACATTACTCTTGAAAATTTACTACAAGGAAATTTTTGTTTATTTGCTTTTCTATTTTTTTTTTAATTCTTTGGTTTTTCAGTTTGGAAACTTGTGTTTCATGTGATTAAAGCAGTGTTNTAATTCTTTGGTTGTTCACTTTGGAAACTTGTGTTTCATGTGATTAAAGCAGTGTTATTAAAATCGAGTCCAATCGACCGATTGAACCGATTAGGCTGTGAATTGGGACGGGTCCAGTTCTGTAGTTGGCCCATACAAAGAAGCGAATCGCACGTGAACCGTTAAATCGGACGATTTTTGACCAAACCCGTGAACCGGGCGGTTTGAAAAAACCGGACTGTTTGAATTNAATTCTTTGGTTTTTCAGTTTGGAAACTTGTGTTTCATGTGATTAAAGCAGTGTTATTAAAATCGAGTCCAATCGACCGATTGAACCGATTAGGCTGTGAATTGGGACGGATACAAAGAAGCGAATCGCACGTGAACCGTTAAATCGGCCGATTTTTGACCAAACCCGTGAACCGGGCGGTTTGAAAAAACCGGACTGTTTGAATTTCGAGAGAGATATATAAAAAAAAAAATCATTTTTTGGGCCATTTGCCCCAAGTCAATCGCGTTCGTCCAGTTTGAAGGTTCAGTTGCAGAAAATAGCACCTCTTCAAGATGAAGTCTCGACTTTAAAGAGCAAGCTCGATGATTTTAAGTTTGAAAAGGAAAAATTGGAAGCCTCACTGCATTCAATATCTACAGATATTGTGAAGAACTTAAGGCTGAGAAAATTTTATTTGTTGAAAGCCATGTCCTAGTTTGAGGACTACAAAGAAAGTTGTCTTCGAAGAAAAGCTTCGGCAGATGGAGGGTGATCTAGAAGCAAAAGAGGAACTCTATGCACAGGAAACTGCGAGGAAGATAAGCGAGAGCCAGGGACTCAGGGAGGCCGAAAAAAATTCCTCTGCTCACTTCGATGAGAATGCTCCTCCTCTGCTGGAAGCTCTCTCTCACTCGGTCAGTCTCTCTGTCTCTCTCACTCTCACACACACACAAACTGCCAACGGGACTACAGGAATTTCGAATATGGTGGGTGACTCTACATATTTTTTTTTCTAGTCATATATTGGCCTAGTTGGTGGAAGGGGACTGATATTTTGCACAGGTGTTGTATTTGAGAATGGTGGTGTTGTATATTTTGCACAGGTATTGTAGATATATTTTATTTTTTTTAGTTAAATTATTATTTTTATAATTATTATATATATTTTTTATTTTTTTATTATATGACCGGTTTGACCCGTTAATCCACTAGTTGAACCAGTAAATCATTAATCCAATCTTCTTGTCGGTTCGATGGCCGGTCCGGTTCTGATAACATTGGATTAAAATCTTTTGCTTATGCATTAAGGATTTAGGGTAATTCTTTCATTTCAAAATATTCTTGATCTTTTATCTAGAGAACTGTTATGCTCTGTTTGGTGAGAAAGATAAAAAATAGGAAAGATGAAAAATAAGAAACATATATTTTCTATCTTTTAAGGATGAAAAGTAGGAATAATATATTTTTCTTCCTTTGTGTTTAGTTGGATGGATGAAATAATAATAATTAATTTTTTAAAATTTTTTTTTGTGCTGGCTAAGATTAAGGGTGACAATCAAGTCGTGTCGTGTCAGATTTGTGTTGAGTCATAAAATTATGAGTCTTTTATATTTCTTGTTCGCGTGTTAAGTCATTTTCAAATTCGTGTCGAGTTATAATCAAGTTCGTATCATAAAATTCGTGTCGAGTTCCAATCGCGTCATCGTGAATTTTCACTCCTAGTTAAAATAAAAAAAATATTTTTTTAATTTAAAATTTTAATTTTTAATTTTTTGTTTTATTTTTTGTTTTTTTTTGTTTTATTTTTTATTTTTAAATTTTTTTAATATATATATCTATATAATAAAGTAGAACGAAGTTTAAATCCAATAGACAAAAAGATGTCCAAATCATTTTGAGACAAAACATAAACACATCTAACGGACAAAATAATCCCAACATAAAATATGGTTTAAATCATCTCATAAATACTGATCTGATTATTATAATTGGACTTAACTCTAATACTCCTATCTCTTAGACGTTTTAAACACACTATCTCATCTCCTCTCTCTCTTATCTCTTATCATTAAATATTTGTTCTTTTTAATTATTTTTTGTCTTGATTTAGTTGTGCATGCTTTGACATGAATTTATTATTATACATTGATGCTATGTTTTAAATGTGTAATGCTATTTTCAATTGCTTATTTACCCGAGATTTGTACGTTTAACAATTGATGATCCCATCAATGGTGTAACCAGTAAAAGCACAAGACTACAATCAGTACCCATACGAGAATATATATATATTTTTTTATGATTTCATAGAATGAGTAAATATTAAATATTAAAAAAAAATTAATAGGTTCTATACATTCTTCTGAAAGTATCTTGAATTTCTAATAGAAAAAGTTAACTCAAAATAAAATTCAATCTAATCACCAATAAAAAAAAAAATAAGTCACACCAATTGTGCAAAAAAAAAACTTAAAATCAACCTAATCGCCAATATCTAATCCATAAATTCACCTTTCAAGCTATTATTTATACAAAAAAAAAAAAAATCTACTATAAGCAAACATACAGTTCTTAAAATGATAGATAAATAAAACAAAAGTTCAAGCTCAAGCTAATCACCAATAAAAAAACAACTGATACGAATTGCGCTAAAAAAAATAAATAAAAAAATAAGTGACCAATAAAAATAAAACAATTCTGAATTGGTATGAACATTTTCGGATCATTTTTTTTTATTAATTTTCATAATTACTTGCAATTTTTTTGTTTATTATATAGTGTCTTCAAGTACGGGTAATGACTGGTATATACATATTTTATCATTGTATTTTTATATGAAATTAATGTATACATAATATATAGACAAATAATTAACTTTCTATTTACTTTTTGTCCGATTTTGAAGGGATTAATTTTAGTGAGTTGGAAGGAAAATTAATCCATCCACTTTTTATCTTTCCTATTTTTCTTCTTTGCCAAATATGATATTTTATTTATCTTTCCAACTTTTCATCCTTCCATTTTTCTATTATACCAAACAGAGCATGTTTTGCACTAATTTTCTGTCTTATGATTCATGTTATTTTTCTACTATAGATCCCATTCTATAGATCAAATTCATGTGTTTTGATCCGATAACATACTACCTCTATTAGAACTTTATCCATAGTTCATTGTGATTTTGGACCAAATTAAACCCCTTAGAAATTCTGTAATATTATATTATTTATGTTTATTTTTCCAAAAATAAATTTATCTTTTTAATCTTGTTAGATCTCCATCAACTAAAAATCTAATTTACCACATCTCATTGAAAATCAAAAAAAAAAAGTCAATTAATTATAAACAATGTGTATCATACACAACACAATACAAATTATAGGGATTATTAGTGTTTTATATTTAACCTGACCTATTTGTCATTAATGGTAACTGTTCGTGTCATTTCTGAATTTATGTCAGTTAATATGTCATATTTAAAGTTGACACTCTTACTCAAATGCTTTGAAGTCATGCAAACGGTAACCAAATATATTTTAATCCTTTGAAGAAGTGGTTATCATACATTTGTAGTTAAATTCATTAAGATATGCACCACAAGTGGTGGATAAGCATAAACATTTAAAAATAAATAATTTAGTGCACGAGACTCCTGTTATTACGATGTTCGCCATGTTAGGTGTTAGAGAGGAAGACCTTTGCTATAATCATGAATGTCCACCCTGATAATAAAAAGGAGAAAAAACAATATAGTTAAGAATGCCATAAGCATAATCACATAAAAGGAAAAAGAATTAGAAGAAGAAAGGATCAAAACTTGGCACTGCAGTTTGAAGTTGCCCATCCTATCAGCTCTCTTTCGTTGTCATAAATCACCAACATGTCTTGCAAAGAAATGTCTATGAATAGCAGAAAAAACATGTAACAGTACAAAAATGTGGATTAGATTCCATAGACAAAATTTCCAGTAATCATGTTTAGGGGCTGCTAATTAATGTCCGAGTTGAATGAATAGCTAGAGATCAACTAGAATAAAAGCTCGTACATTAATGAACCAAGCTTAAACTCAATTCTAAAACTCATTTAATAAACAAGCTAAGACTGATTAATAATTGTTTCCGTTCGTTATGCCCTTGACACGCATACTTATAAATATGAGTCGAATTTGACCTTAAAATTGAGTTAAAGATTTAATACAACCTTGAATTTGCTTATTTAATCAAATAAGTTGAGCCTTAGTTTAGTTTGGAACAAAAAATTAACGTGCTAAGCTTGACAAGATGTTTAAAGCTCGTGGCGACTCTGTCGTGATCTTCAACATTCTTTGTGAACAAGTTGAGCCGAGCCAGAATGAGCCCAAGAAATCTGATGCTTGGTTCAATTCAGTTCGGTTCATTTGCAACCCTAATCATTTTTATTTTTTTTTCAATTTCACTTATTCAGAAGTACATCTTTACCTCCAATTATATTCAAGCTTCCCAGTCCTGCTTCATTGCCATTAGAGATCCCCAAGCACACGTTACCTAATTCCTAAAAATGAAGAGCGTGTTAAATATCATCTAATTAAACAAGCTTTCTTTCATATTTAACAAGCATTGATCCGAACCGAAAAAAAAAAA